TATCGCTGATCCTACGATGCTCTCCCTTCGTTCCATCTGATATCCAGAGTGATCGGCTTGTTTTGATTTTCTATGTCGATCAGATCAAGTATAGTCCACCTCATATATGCGTCGAGGGTGCTTTCTGATGTCGATGTGATGTTCAAAGATCCTAAATGTATGTCTCCCAGCCATTTCCCTTTCGATAAGCATCAGATATTACTTTGGCGATTTATTTCGATTTATGTCCCCAAACTATGCTCATGTGGCTATACACCTCGACCTGGGATGTGTCATACCATGCTAGTACTATAGCCACGTTGAACGGCGATTTTTTGAGCTATAGAACGCCCTATTAACTTCAACAATGCTCCTGCGCTGAGCCCAAGTAAGGGTGTGAATGGCTGACTCAGACGCTTACTTAACGTTTACTTAACGCTTACCTCAGGCATGATGTTTCCACGCCCCGTGGCGGCAGTGTCACGGCGCGGCCGAGCCTCAGCGGCACATTTCCACGCCACGATGTGGCAGTGTCACGACGCGCGCGGCCGCCACATGGCTGACCGTGGCAGTGCTCTGCCGCGCGTCTCGCCGAACAGACTGGGACCCACGGTCACCGTGGCAGTGTCGCGACGCGCGTGGCTCACCGTGGCAGTGTCGCGACGCGCGTGGCCCACCGTGGCGATGCGGTACGTGCCTCGCATGGCTCACCGTGGCGGTGTAACGACGCGCGTCCCGCCAAACAGACCGGGTCCCACGTTCACCGTGGCAGTGTCACGACGCGCGTCGCTCACCGTGGCAGTGCCTTGCCGCGCGTGGCGCCGAACACATCCGGTCCCACGATCACCGTGGCAGTGTCACGACGCGCATCCAGTTGGGGACAAGCAAAGTCAACCAAAAACATGACCGAGTTTTTACGACCCAAAATATGCTCGGTTTTCTTTTCTTTTGCTTCAGGCATGATACTATACACATTAGTTCAAGGATTGCACGAGCAGATTGCCCAGAAAAGCCAAAATAAGAAAAATTGACCCCAAAAAATTGGCACACCCCCAAAAATGACCCTAAAATCTCCGAAAAGTGCTCATTCGCTTCCTTTTTGTATTCTGTGTATGATTCTGATGGCAATTGATATTTCTAACGAGCCGAAACGCCACAAACAATTAGGAACTTCAATCATGTGACTGAATTGCGTGAAAACCAATGTGGCTGTCCGCCAAAATAGGCAGTCGAAACATCCCTATTTTGGCAAGAACCGGCTTAGACACCAAATACAGGTGGGTTCCGGGACTTGGCAGCCTGAAGCTAGTGGTCAAGGGGTCCAGTCCTCGGCCCTCCGGGGGCATCTGCGGCCTTCTGATCCGGGTGCAGCACCCTACATGTAGCGGTGAAACTCGGCCAAAAATTGGCACTCCCGATTTCTCGTGGGAAAATTCAAAAGAGTGCAGATTTGGATGTTTCCAGGTGCGCTGATTCTGAATCCAAAGTCAGAAATGTGATAGGAAATGCGTGTGAGCCGCTACATGATTGGTTGACTTTGCTTGTCCCCGACTGTCCGCCGAGCAGGCCGGGACCCACGGTCACCGTGGCAGTGTCACGACGCGCGTTCAGACCCCCTGCCGAGCTCGCCGGAGTCCCACGGTCACGGTGGCGGCGAGCAATCCTCCCGGCGACATCCCCACCAAAATATTGGTGGCGTAATGCCCACAGCGCGTTAAATCGCGAAAATATTCAGCGAGGTACCCATCACACTTACGAAGAGGCGTTGTCAGACGGTGAGTAGCGACTCACTTGGGAACAGTCGAGAAAAACGGACGGTGAATTATGAGCATCATTTCTTTCGATTTAAAAAACCGATTGTTCGATGAATACTGCAATATATGAAGCTTCTAAAATCTTGAAAAAATGGCCAGTGGGAGGGGATTGGTGAACATGATTTTTTGACATACTAACCGTGGGAATTTGATCGCTGGATGATCCTCCAGGCCCTTCTCACCGTTTTAGGAGGATATGATGAATTACGGAACGACTGCCAATATAAAGTGAGTTGCGAGAACAGTTCTGGATTCAGTACTTCTGGGGCTATACACTGACACCCCAAACATCCAAAACTGAGACGCCCGGAGGTCAGCCTGACCTCCTGGCTGGGACAGGGCTAGGGGACAGACTTAAGGTCACAAAACAATATGTAAGCATGTATATTTATCGTATAGTAACCATGTTGATACTAGACAGCTTTCAAAATCAATATATAGCGAGATTTCATATTCAAATCGCTGTATTTGGTGCACGTTTTGGCCACGGGATATCAAAATCTCAATATATATCAAAAATGAAAGCTCTCTACTCAGCAAGGTTGCACGTAGAATTCATGATATATATTTGGCATTTATCAGGGCATGCACCCGGACTCCATTGTCACCCGCATCTGGCCAAACACCTGACTTGTTATGGGAGGATTGTTCCCTGCTCATGCAGCCCTGTGGACCATCACTTCTCCTAGGCCACCCGAGCTCACCTTAAAGTCAAAACGGTGGTTACGGGTCTGGCAATCCCGCTGACCCTGATTTGAGCCATTGCGTGGCCCGAGGCCCACACCCCTGGGCCCTGTGTATTTTCAGACAATTATTGGATGATTTGCAATAGCATCTCCATCATTATCTCGAGGGATCCGCTACCGGCTCCTGATGTCTCCGGAGCATACCCTGACAGTCATGGACCCCTGACACCCTGTCATCTACACCCAATGACAATGGGATGGTTCCATATCCATATCAGGAATGTGGAATGTGGAAGGTATGTGATTCATACCCATAGCAATCATATATTAAATGATATTGCAAGCACAGCATACAGATTATGCGAGGAATTATACCTTGGAGTAGAGCCAGCTAAGAGATGAAGCCATATTGCATAACCTGAATATAATACGTGCACACCCAGAGAGTGTGGGAGCATCCATGCACCAGCACCCATGGGATATGGAACTGAACACATGGCTACCCCCTCATAGGTCCAAAAAAATAGGGTCTAAATACCCCTAAGAGGTCATGACTTGGAGGGTGACTGAGGTGCCCGCGGAACGTAGCGTCGTATGCAGTAACCAGGGGGACCGTCGGTTCCGGATGTGTCCACCAATGTAACGGTTTCGCGTATCTTGCGCCGCCGTTATGTAGTTCTTGAACCGCGTCCAGGTCCTGGCGAGTTCCGGGTTCGGTAGTAGTCGTAGTCTTGTTGGTCGTAGCCAGGTGTCGGATATACCGTGCGCGTCAGTCCGCGCGGCTTTACACTGACGGGGGGTCTTTCCTTGAAAGCCCCAAGAACTCCCCCGTAAGAGGGAGTCGCGTACTTCGCAGTTCGTCCACACTAAAGGGGACGAGCGAAGGCCGCGAGAGTAAGAGTAAGATGATTATGTACAATACAGCCGCGCGTTGCAGTACTACGCGCTACTTCTATATTAGGTAGCCCGGCGTCGGGGCGGGGAAGTACGTGCAGGGTTACGCAGAGCCGTCACACAGCTTCGGTCCAGCCAAATGAGGGAATAGTTGAGATGACAATAGTGATGGATTGCGTAACGACAAAAACATGAGGGACAACAAAAAGATCCTTCTGATTGTACGGCGACTGCGCGTCCTGGCTATCACTCGTCGCCAATCTTAGGCGCGAGGTAGTATCGGATATGGCCTTGACCGAAGTGGTATTGTACCTGCGCGGACGATTAGCATCTTCTCACCACAACTACCAGATCATCTCACCAGTAGGGGAACGTCGTTGCTCATCATGAGCTGCACTACATCAGTCAAGCTGGAGCTCTTCGCGAAGTTGACGAGATACTGTGAGTTGAAGAAGCGAAACTATGTCAGAGGCGCACTGCGTTAACGGTGTAGAAAAGAAAGCAGCCTACCTTCAGAGAGAACGTAAGATTGACAGTCTGGTTCATCTCGATCAGCACACCCGTCCGGCCGCTGCCATCGTCGTCGTCGTCACTATCATCATCGCGGCTCTTCTTCGACTTCCGAGCCTTCTTCGCTGGTGAGGGCTAGAGGGGCAACCCGGTTGAGTGGACGGCAATCAATCGTAGGGCTTGATGCTACCTTAGACGACGACTTCTTCCTCTTCTTGCTGTCGCCACCGTCCTCTTCTTGTTCATCCTCACCATCCTCGTCCGATTTGACCTACGATCGTCCCATGATCAGTCCAGTAATGATAATAGGACCTGGAGATAGATGTTACCTCTTCGCCGTTCATCTTGACATCGCCGTCTTCTTCCGCCTCCTTCTTCACGTTGGCTTTGCTGTCCTCTTCCTCCTCCTTTTCTTCCTCTATAAGCCCGGCGTGATTCATCAACCGCAGTCAGGAAGCGGTCGCACATGTAACGAACCATCGAACTCCTCGATCTTTTTCTGGAAGTATTTTCGACTGGCGTCTGTCTGCTTCAGGAGCACAGAGCCGTTGGCAGCCTCGCCGTCCGAATTGAACCGGACGCCTTCCTTGGTCACATCGATGCGGACGGACTCGCCGAGCTGCCAAGACCGACATTGAAGCTTGGACGGAGCGGGAAAGGGCAGGGCGTACGAACCTGGATGAGGTCACGGACTATCCTTGCGAGTTCGCTACTCGGCATGGTAATCCTGAGCGAAGGAGTCAGGGATTCCAGGTAAGCGAGGGCAGCCTTCATGTGCGTACCGTGCATCGTAGTCGGTGTCTGGTATACCGAGCGTATCCGAGTCGATATCCATCAACTTCATGTCATATTCCGCCAACCGATCCTGATCTGTCGAAATATCAGTCGACTACATCGGTTATTTTGAACCGGCGCGCGTACTTCTGCTCTCGAACTTGAGGTTGAGGACATCGGCGTCGTCGGTGGCCGTTAGGGTGCAGATATCATCATCCTTGGCGCATTTGAGGACCTTTGCGAGCGCGCCGAGGTTGACACCGAGCGGCATTGGACGGTCGCATCGGTACTTTTGGAAGCTGGAGGCATCTAGCTTGACGGCGACAAGCGCGACGTGCGAGTTGTCCATGGCTTGAAGAGTCTGTAAGCCGTCAGGAGACCGCAACCACAAACGCATTGGAAGTAAATAAGCGTACTATGCCCTCCTCGTTGCACTCGAAGTTCGCGTCCGTGACTAGCTCCTTGATAGCTGGAACGAAGAACGCGTTAATGGTGTAGCGAGCGATCAACACGCGGGCGGACTCACCGTCAAGGAGCTTCTTGAGAGTTCCCGCCTGTTGCAGCCGAGCTTCGAGCATGATTAGTGGAGTTAGTGGGAATAGCTGGTGAGCGGGCGAGCAGACGCGGCGTAGACGAACGTGGAGGAGAGAAAGGTGAGACGCGTCCGTGGCGCAAGGACGCGACTGTAAAACATGAGCAAACACGCCTCCCACGCCGCACTGGTTCCGCTTTAAGTTTCAACGCTCGGCGTTCAACCGTCACTCAACCGCCAATCGGACAACCGTTACATGTGCAGCACAAGCTCATTGATACCATGAAATTAGGTGCTGGATCGAAAGCGTGTCATATAACTTGGGACTTGTACGACTGCAGATACCAGTTACCTGCTTCCGAGCACTAGGACAACGTATCACTACCGCCAGTCGCTTGCTAGATTCTGACGCACCCGACATGGCGCTGGGCAAGTGCTAAGTGTACATCCCTGTCACGGATTGATACGCCCATACAGTACTACTACTCAGCGCGATCGCGTCCACAGGCCATAATCGCGGATCGTGGTGGCCCTTGCAAGGACGGCGCCGTACACATGTTCCAACCCTAGCCAAAACTGCTCGCTTGGGTATTTTGTCTTTGTTGGCCTTGGCTCTGGTAATCAGTCTGGCGCTCTTCGAATGACGTCGTAAAAAATTCCTGCACTGAGTATGACCGACCCGAAACTCAAGTCATGCTGATGCCGCCTTTCCGGAAGTACATGATGAACACGAAGATCGCCAGGCTCATCTGCCTCGAATGAACGTTTTATGCCCTTTCATCCAAGCCGCAATCTGGGGTAAATGATACCGCACGCCTTGCGCGGGTCCATCCGCCATTCGTGGCGTTTCAAAGTCAAATACGGCTCCAGAAGCCGACACGTGTTCACCTCAGAAGGCTTCGGTGAGACTTTGTACACCATATTCATTGGCTTCCACATGATCCGTATCTCCTCGTTGCTAAATCATCCCTCAGAATGTCCAGGGAACGAAGAAGGTCGCATATCCAGGATACCAGAAGTCAGAACACGTTTCAGCCGGATGGCATCGACCTTGATCATTCCGTACGTGGAGCGGTCATGACTGTGAGCATGGACGCTGGTCGTGTACGACACCGACGATGCAAGTCATCAGGTGGCATGCGCTTCCGACGGCTAGCATTGACCTGTCGCCAGCGTTAATGGCGCCAATATTTTGGCCTGTCAGCTATCGATCATGAATATGGAGCCGTTGCAAGATGGCGCGCTTTGCACAAGCGCTGTGCCTGCGGAAGCTAATAGGCAGGCCATTCTATCAAAACATGAAACGTCAATCATTATCTTGACTTTCTTCTCCGACCTACAGATCTGCTCGATGTAGCCGCGGAATCACTTGCGGGACGAAGCGAGAGCGGTCGTTGGAGCGACATTGTCTCTTGTCCGAGAGAGGAAAGCGTTGTATTCGGCGTCGCGCAGGTGATGCATGCTAGCTCTTTCCACACCGCATCTCTGAACTCTGAAAGGAAAGGTCAACAACATAGCACGTTTGCGACGGCTAGCTGCAGGTATGCCGAGGGTATGTGGTCATATCAACTGTAATCAATCATCAGAGGCGGGAGTCCTCGACAGGCCTCGTTGCCAGTACGATGGGAACGGAACGCTGATAGGCGGATCGATCGCGCTAGAATCGACGGTAGCGACATAGCTTATGAGCGTGTGCATCGTTTCAAACCACCTGCTGGACGATGGAGTGGACGAGATGAACGAAGGAATATCGGCGGCGACCACGGACGTCGAGGCTGCGATTGGTGGGCCCGTATTTGTGCGTTGTTTGGACCCGGTATTTACGGGATCCGGGATGTAATCAGGTGGAGATAAGAGAAAGTGGGAGGGGATCCGCTCCTCATTTGGGAAGGTTCGAAATGCAGGCGTGATCAGATGTGGTCCAGAGCTTGGTACGTACTGGCAGAAATACGTCGTCCGTCGATGATTGATGGATGGCATGCGATCGCTCGCTTGCGACGCCGCGAGTATGGCTGGACGCTCGCAGGACGCTCACAGAAGTGAGATATCGTCCCTATGTCGCCCGAAGTGGCGCGCAGGGCGGGGGCGTGAGAAGGCGTGAGGGCACGCGGAAGCAGAATCGGGAGAGATAAGCGAGGCGTCGACCGGTGGGCAGGGTCGTGCCTTCCTTCCCCAGATCGTTCTTCTCGCCTGCCGCGTGCGCCGATTGCCGAAAACATCCAGGGGCCCGGGATATTAATGTCCGAATCCGGTAACCGAACACGTTCCCTTCGCGGAGTTACGCTGCCCAAGACGTCCGCGTCTGTGGGAAGCGGCAAGTATAAACATATGTAAGGTTCCCCATCGCGCACAGCGCCCTCCTCCATTTGCGGTACCCCCCCGACCCTCCACTTGCGCGCCTCGAGGCCGACGTGCGCGCTCCCTCCTTCCTTTCTCTGCTCCCCCGCCTGCCAGGTCGATAAGATGCCTGCTGCAAGGACGAGGGACAGGCGCGCAGACGGTCAGATCAACGACGATCAACGCCGAACGCAGTCGTATACTGACGCCACATTGTTCTCAGATGGCCAGCTCACTTGGGCTCCCGTTCTCGAGCCCAAGCCACCCACCACCATCGCCTTCGCCACCAACATCACCCCGGGCACCTTCAACGATCCACCCAGTCCCTCGCTCGAAGAGCCCGCCGAGTCCCTCCTCTTCCCCCCCTCCGACACCCCGTCTACCCCCAAGAAGGCGGCCCACAGCAAAAAGAAGGCACCGGATCACATCCCCCGTCCTCCCAACGCCTTCATCCTCTTTCGCTCCTCGTTTATCAAGTCGCAGCACGTCCGCTCGGAGGTCGAGACCAACCACTCCACCTTATCCAAGATCATCGGCATCACCTGGCAGAATCTCCCTGCCGACGAGCGTCGCATTTGGCAGGCCAAGGCGAGGGCCGCTCTCGACGAGCACAAGCGCAAATGGCCCAGCTACGCCTTCCGTCCCTTGCACCCGAAGCACAAGGGCCGCGAGCCGGACTCCCCCTCTGCCGACGGCCGAAAGCCGACCGCGCCCAAGGAGAAGCGGAAGGTGAAGGAGATCGGACAGAAAGACCTCACCCGATGTGCGAAGATCGCCGAGCTGCTCGTCGAGGGCAAGAAGGGCGAGGAGTTGAATGCGGCTATGGCCGAGTTCGACAAGCATCATGTACCGCCCACTATCGTTCCGCGGTTCGAGGAGCCCCTCACGGTCCGCGCGTATCGACGGTCTTCGTCTGCCCCCATTCCAGAGACTGAGCACGTCCGCAAATCGCAGTCGTTCCGTCCTTCGACGCCTGCTCGATCGTCGGCTCGCAAGCGGTCGTCTAGTAGCGAGCCGGAACCCGCCAACCCTCGCGATGATCAACACGAGATCGATCCTTCGATGCCACCCTTGGTTGACAATCCACACCCTTGGTGTTACGACGTGCCCCAGTTCTCCCTTCCTTGGGCACCATCGCAGGGGATGCAGCTATGTGAATTCGCCGCAGATCCACATCCGTCTTTCGTGAGTTGTACGGTCCTCGTCAACCTGTGCAATGATCTGATCTTGTATCCGCAGTCTTTTGAGCATTATACAGTCAACCAGTCTCTATCGACGTCATCGTCACCTGCAGGACCCTCGTATGCGTCAATGCCCCCTTGCGATCCGTTGGCTCCACTCACACCCGAGGTCCACGGATCTATGAACATGCATCGCGCACGGCCAGGCGACGACTCGTCGGATTATGGCCAAGGAAGCACGACATTGTATACCCCGAGACCGCTTGCCATCAACACGTCGTTCCTCGATTATCGCGATTACCGACATCCCTCACCTTATTCCAGCACACCGGGTAGTCCTGGGGCTTTCAGTCCTGGCACACCGTTATCCTACGACGCTCCCGGGACACCCAGCTCATTCGTACTGTCCCCTCCTGCGTCGGGTGCCATGCTGACCGGTTTCCTGGGTTGCGATACCTTGCAGACGACGCCTGTGGACGGCGCATTCGATCACAATGCGCTGCGGAATCCCTGCCCATCGGTGTCCGGAGATTCTGTGATCGGTGGGGACGATCCCTCGCCTTCCTCTCCCGACCCTTCAGAGTCGGAGTACGGGCACATGTTCGGCGTTTTCGAGCTCCGGACGTCCTCTCATTACCCTCCCGCTAAGGTTGACTTCTCGCGATACGATCTAGATCCCCAGCTGCAGGCCATTCTTGATGGCAAACCGTCGACACTGGCTCACCTTGATTCGGCCCTCAGCAGCTTCATATCCGGCGCTTCTTCGCTTCCTCTATAATCCGGTCCGCGTCGACGACGCTACCTACCACCTTCCGTTCGCGCTGCCTTCATCACCCCCAACACCGCTCACACCATCTTGGATACACGATCTTTCGTCACCTTCCTTTACCCTCGTCCAACACCCCATCTCTTACCGAGCTGTATTTTTAAGCTGTCATCGCTGTGCTGTCGTTGTCGTGTAAGCTTGTATTACTACCCACCACGCCCCGGCCCGCAGGATCCCCTTCGTCACCGCGGGCTGCCACTCAGATTTATTATATCTATTGCCACACACCTCTGTTCCGGCTCGCCCAATTGTTTATTCCCTATCTTGTATATACGCTGACCTTCTTGCTTCTGTCTTCGCTCGCTAGAGACTTTGTTGGATTACATACTTATCTGTTGACGGAATGCTTAATTCCCATGAAGATTCTGGATACATCGGTGTTCGTTTTGAAACCCGCATTGAGCATGTAACACCGAGTGCGAAGACTTGTACGTGTTTTCGGTTCCTTACTCGGCTGGTCCACATGAAGAAGCACGTCAGATGAACATGCCGTATACAATCAGATGGAGTCGTGTGGAAACCCGAGGAGAATTCATGACGGACCTGTAGCGTCGTCGCGGACTGGTGACGACGGGCTAGCACACGTATGCACGACCGTCATTAGTGAGTATCGCGACTCGCCATGTTGCCCAGACGCGTTGATGAGTGCCGTTCATCAGCGCAAGCTCCTGCCCGCGGTGTTATTGCGGCGCCGCAGGTGTTGCGCAGCAACATGATTTAGACTCCGTGTACGAGAACATTACGGCAGCCTTGGTCTTCGGCAGGTCCGTTCCGCCGATGGGCTAGGTGGCTTATGTACCGGGCGCGAGAGTCCATGGAATTCGAAAACAGACTCGCAGGACTTGCATATCGTGAAGTCCGGTAGGAATAAACCCGTTCAGCAAAACTCGAAAAGAAACCCGCGCGCCACGCGATGGCCGAAACTGGGCGGTATGCACGACCGAAAGGTGATGGCAGCAGGCCGCATTACGACAAACAGTCGTATTAGCCGTTGGATGGCCGAAGACAGTACGTCAATGTGCAAGCACTATCCAAGCGCGGTGCGGGAGACAAAGCAGATGTTAGGAGGGTGAAGAACGGTTGCTCTCCCTTATACCAGCCTTGCTTGAGGCCCACGCAGAACCAGCAGAATCAGGATATAACCGATCTATCTGACTCGCAGTGTGCTGATGTTGTGCTACATATAGACCGATGAGAGCCTCAAGGTGCGATATACCCACGACTTACGCTAGTTTGAATGTCTGCCAGTTCGGGACCGAAAAGTGATGATTCGTCGCGGTAGTAACGCACAGCTGGCCGTTGGTTCGCGAATTCCTCCTTGAGACCATAAGAGGAGTGTCGTAGGCGATCGATATCGAGCAGTTGATAGCAGATATCTGTCCGCAAGCGATCATTATAAGCACGATTACTAGAACGTGACAAGTGGCCTGAAATGACGAGATCAGCAAATACGAACTTCCAAATCTCTTTCGCAGCGCTGACTATTCACTTCACTCAAGCTCTCGAGGTTGAGTCAAGATCAAGTCAATTTTCTGTATCAATAGATGATAGGTTCATGTTAGCGGTAGTAACCTCACGGGACTGTTCGTTTACCGCTCATTCGAGCTCAAAGTAGCACCGATATAGTTTGAACGTGGTTCCGTCCGCGTAGAAGTCTGCCGCATCATAGCGCTCCGGAGCAGAGCGTCCACTAGAGCCTATGTATGCTGCACTCGGCCCCGTCGTCCCGACTCCTGCGTCATACGGGCTTCCGGCGGTGGATTACCCATAATCGTGATTAACCGCATAGGCACGGTATTGTCGGCCCGGTTCACTATCTACTTGCTTGAGATTGAGGCTCACATGGATGTGATCAATCGCAGACACAGTATAGAGACCGTTTTCATGAAAGGGAGCAACGTCCACACGATAAAAGTTGGTGAAAATCGGTTTCATTCGATTATTCGTCGCAGCATGACTTGGGACTCGCCGTCGAGGTCGGTCGTCCTCGAAATATGGAGTGACCGGATTGACTCGGGAACGGCCTCCCGAGGCTAGAAGTCGAAAATCACAACCAAGGTCAAGTATCTGTGAGTCTCGAGCCTGCCGGAGAGACCCGAGCGCTCCGTGGCGTCTTTCCGCGTCCTGGCGCCAAACGTGGGAATTCTAGCCGGCCCGTCACAGCTATACATAACCGCAACTGATACACCTCCCGCATACCCATCGACTTCCATCCACGAGTCGCGGATCCTCTCACTTGCTCGCATCCATCACAGTCACTATGGGTGTCCTCGACATTGTACCTGTACGTGAATTCAGCCTCAGGAACCACAGATCTCCAACGATATTCACTGTACCATCTAGGCCGGAGTTTTGACCGGCGAAAACGTTCGCAAGCTGTTCGATTACGCTAAAGAACACAACGTTGGTTTCCAATCCACTCCCCGAACGATGTGACACTGACCCGTCGCTTCATTCGACATCCGATAGTTCGCGATCCCCGTAAGTAACGTCATCGATGAATCGGTGCACCCGATCTAACATCCACTCTAGGCTATTGTACGACGCTTCAACCATACCATGGCTTGCGGACTGACTGTCGTACAACCTACAGAATTGCACTTCGTCTTCGACGGTCAATGCAGTCCTCGAAGCTGCTCGGTACGTGAACCGATAGAACAGCGCCCACCCTCACCTGAAAACCTCATCGGCGAGAATCTGATACACTGCGTACTTGGTAATTAGTGACATCAAGTCGCCGATCATAATACAAGTTTCCCAAGGCGGAGCTGCCTACTTCGCTGGCAAGGGGCTATCCAATACGAACCAAGAGGCGTCCATCCTCGGCGCTGTAGCGGCTGCCCACCATGTTCGCACTGTCGCGAAGGCATATGGCGTGTAAGCATCATATTCTACTCACATCATTCACACGTATTTCCAATACCTCGACTCATTGCCGATGTTTGACAGACCCGTCATCCTCCACTCCGATCACTGCGCACACAAGTTGCTTCCCTGGTTCGACGGCATGCTCGCTGAGGACAAGAAGTACTTCGATCAGCACGGCGAGCCCCTGTTCTCTAGCCACATGCTCGACCTCAGCGAAGAGCCCAAGGATGAGAATATCAAGACGTGTGTCGAATACTTCACCAAGATGGCCCCTCTCGGTACGTTGTCCTGCGAATACCTGCATCCTGGCTTACGTTCCACCTCAGGTCTCTGGCTCGAGATGGAGATCGGTATCACTGGTGGCGAGGAAGACGGTGTCGACAACACCAACGTGGACAACAACAAGCTGTACACTCAACCGGAGGATGTCTACGACGTTTACGACGCCTTGATCAAGGTTAGTCAAGTGTTTATGGGTTAGTATCACGTTCTTATCGTCGCCACCGGCTTTTGGCTACAGATCAGCCCCAACTTCAGCATCGCCGCCGCGTTCGGTAACGTCCACGGCGTCTACAAGCCCGGGAACGTTCGCCTCCACCCCGAACTTCTCCACAAGCACCAGATCTTCACCGAGCAGAAGACCCAACAGAAAAAGCCTCTGTTCGTCACAAACTGCTCTGCGTCTTCATACGGATGCTGACCTAAGAATCCAGCTACCTCGTTTTCCACGGCGGATCTGGTTCAACCAAGGACGACATCAAGACCGCCGTCGAGAATGGTGTCGTGAAGATGAACGTCGATACCGGTCAGCATCCTACTCTCGTGTCGTTGTTCTACGCCGCTAACTGCCTCGCCTCAGACACTCAATTTGCGTACCTCTCCGGTATCCGCGATTTCGTCCTCAACAAAAAGGACTACTTGCTTTCGCAAGTCGGCAACCCCGATGGCGCTGACAAGCCCAACAAGAAGGTATGCACTGTTCATATGACGTCTGTTACTTGTGACTAAACTGCGACGTACACAGTACTACGATCCTCGTGTCTGGGTGCGCGAAGGCGAGAAGACCCTTTCGCAGAGGGTCAAAGAGGCCTGTGCTGACCTAGGCAACGTCGGTAAGTCTTCCCCTGTGATTGGCAGGACGATGTGATGGGTCTCAACCTTCCTATATCATAGACCGCCTTTGAACGGGCGCGAGGATACGAGAGACGATTATTGGCGACGATGTCGAAGCTGTAACTCACAAATGATGTACAGGTATTAGGTTAGCGCATATAGATACGTAAAACGAACAATGTTGTTATACATCAAGAATAGTATAGACTGACGTGTGAGAGCGTGTGAGACGCGTTCTGGAGACGCAGTCAAAGAACACGCATCCGTCCAATTTGAATGGTGCTCTACATCCCTGATCATGTGATGACCGACTAACCAGAAGTTGTGCAATCTTGCCGTTACTGACACTACAGCCGCTACGTACTTGCTATGTACCAAGGTTCCGATGCATTTGGTTTGCTCTGCGACCCCGTTCTAGTCGGGGCGTCGCACGCCGGCTTTGACTCTCACAGTGGCATATTTGAATACGCCGGCCCTGGATAGATGATCCGCTTTGTGTCCGAAGCATGAATACTAGACTGGTCTGCCGTATCCCTCGTCGTCCTCGGTTGCCCTACCCCTCTCGATTGTGTTCTTCTGTACCACCATGCTCAGGAGGCTGATTTGGGCTTCCCTCCTTATTATCCTGGTTGCGCTTTACACCCTTTTCGGGCAGCTGGAATATGCCAATAACCTCGGATGGTGCAGCAGCAGTAAACGACTTGCTGATGAGGACCACGGACGAGAGTTCAACAACCAAACGAGCTATGTTCTTGGTGCGGCAGGATTGACTTTCCGAGGTAATGTCACCGCAACCCGCAGATCATCTGTTAGCGCTCAAGGTCTAAACCCATCCTTGACACCCCCAGACAATCTGAGGAACGACACGAAGTACATGACATCGTTCTTTGGTGGTGGAATGAGTAGGTGCTGTGGTACCGATCAAGTATGAAAAAGGGCGCTAATCCCTGCGGCGGCCCAGCGAACGATATAATGACCATTGTGAGCTTGTATTCATATCATGATGCATATATGCTTACGGAAGGTAGGGTAACATGGTATACCTTGCCACGTTGACAGACCGTGTTCCTATCATTCCTCCATGGATGCCAAACCGTTTACTCGATGCCAACGTGCAGAAACCTCTACCGTTTGGCGAGGTACGAAGGCTCAGCTCGTAGTGTCCGTTGAGCGTGGACTTACTATACGACTGAAGGTGTTCGACGTTCCGCGACTCGCACGCAAACTACGACGCCCAGTGTTGGAATGGCACCAGGTAAGTTCGGAAAGTACCTTCGACTGGTCTACACAGTTTCAAGCTGTACTTAGGTGAAGGACTATTCCGCCGGTGATTCTGTGTTGGAGACTATTGGATGCTACACCGTCTGGGGGAGCGTGAAGCCTGGAGAATCCAGGGATCCAAGTCCAAGTTCGCTAATCCCATTACTGAATTTGGGTGCGTATACGGGTCTCCTCAGAGATGTCCTATGTCAACTAATAGTCATTCTCAAAGATATCTCATGGAATAACATGCCATCCTCGATCAGCCTTGGTTATGATACTGCCTCCATTTGGCGTCTTGCCTCGCTCTTATATCCAAGTGCACGGCAACGAGCTATAGACGCCGGTATTTCTATAGCCCGTATGCGTGATTGCTTGCGTGATAATCTGTAGCCTATTAGGCGAGATCAAGCCGTCACCATCAGGATTCAAGGGTGAACTAGTGCTACCGGATGATCAATTCACGTGTTACGACCTCTTGTATTATGCTGCCACCGTAGAGGTGAGAGCATTCGCTCCAACAGTACTACTGGTTGTCTGACTTATGCAAAGCCATTTGAATACTTCCAAGATTACTCGCCAGCGTGGCGCTTTGTGGTGTCGAACTTTCATTGGACTCAACAAGTGGAACGTATAGGCCACTCGTACGTGAGGAGGATTCTGGGAGTGGAAGACGGAGGTCCGAACGTGAACGAGGTGCGTGGAATGGCGCTCAGTGGAGTAGCCTTGACGACTTCCCATGCTCAGTACATAGCAATTCACGCTCGTCGTGGAGACTTTCAAGGATGGTGTGACTCGGAGAGTCAATCGAGAGACGATTGCCTGGTCAACATCGGAGCCTTACAAATCCGAGTCAAGGAGGTGTGTATTGTATCTGCTCCGTATCCTAGAACGCACCTCGATCTCTGCAGATTCAAGACGAGCTCCTTGTTACCAGGGGCATCAACTTGCGCGACACGTCGGTGACAACTTCGACGCTCATTAACGCTATCGTTGAAGTCTGATTTTGCAGAGATGTCATCCTTCTGAGCGACGAAAAGGACCCGCAGTGGTGGCTCGAAGTTCGGGACCTCGGGTGGAAGACTGTTGATCATGTCGCCCTTGAGACCGTCGACATACACGGTCCTTGGTATGTGCAATCCTCGTTATATATTGTCGATTGCAATTGATGAGTACTATTCTCAAGGTATCCCCTCATAGTTGACGTTTACATCATGTCTAGCGGGATTGGATTCGTTGGTACAGCACGATCAACTAGTGAGAGATGTATTCTGAACCGAACTTGCTATATACTGACCAGCATGGTATCAGTGAGCTTGTTGGCGAAACGTCGAACAGAAGAATGGAGAAACGGGATCACTAGAACGGTTGAATGGGGCTGGCCAGGGGCAGATAATCATTAGCGGCGGGGGCGATCATTTGAGTGTTGTGTCTACGAGCTTTGCGGTGAGATATTGACTTCACGATCATGACTTCGGAGTATACCGTTTCTATGCTTTGTACATCTGCATTTCTGAGCTCGGGGCACTATGTGGAAGACAGGCGGCAGGCGGTAGCGCTGCTGAAATTTGAAATTGACGCTCATACCTTCAACGCTGAGGCCAACCAGAGAACGGAGTTTGCCGTTGGCTCGGTCACCTGATCTGTGGGTATAACCATATTTTGCGCTTAGCCTTCAGTCCGCTCTGGGTTCAAGCCTACTTATACAGCGTACCGCACTTGATAACACTCATTCACGCGTTCTCCACATCAGAATGTCCAGGACTGGCGGGCGTCAGAACAGCGACATGCGAGAGATCGTTGTAATATGCGAGGGTCTTGATAGGGCTGATGGTTCCGCACGTTTCGCCTTCGGTAAGAATCGAATCCCGCTTCATTGACGAATACCATTCCTCGTCCACTGTCTTCATGAATTTTGGCCTCTGAAAACGTGTGCTGACTACTCATAGGACTTACAAAATGCCTTGCATCTGTCTCAGGTCCGATCGAAGTCCGCCCTCAAAATGAGCTCCCCACCCAGGCGGCATTCGAGGTTATCGTACGGCCTCTTTCCGGAGTTGCTGGCACTCGCGCGAAATCAATTGGAACTACATTACAGTTTCTTCTCGCCCCTTCTATCATTCTCACCGCGCATCCGCGCACTCTCCTACAACTCGTTGTACAGGCTCTGAACGAGGACTCGCCACCTACTCCCTCCCTTTGCCGGATGACCTTTCTTCCCGATACGATGTCTGGCTTAGCTGCTATGATCAATGCATCCACAATTGCGCTCTTAAATGCTGGATCGATACAGATGCGCGGAGTGGTATGCGCTGTGGCCGTTGGCGTGGACACGTCCGGGAGTCTTCTCGTAGATCCTGCTCCAAGCGAATTGCCACACCTCGCTGCCTGCGGTTGTTTCGCCTTTATTATACGCGCAACTTCAGCTTCGACGGAACGGCATCTGCAATGCGAACCTGTATGGACGAACTGGCAAACGCGTACAAGCTCCTCTGCCGTACACCCCAACGCGCTCGCACGGGCGAGAGAAGCTGCTGAGAAGGCTTCGCTGACCGTATGGGAGCATCTCAAATCGAGCATGGCGCGTTCCGAACCACGTTCAACCAAGCAAGCTGTCATCGATCAGGAGCGTCTTGACGAGTCGGCAAGTGAAAGCAAGAGCGTGGACCAGGACCAAGGGGCAAGTAGTGAAGACGACGATGTGGAAGAATGATGATCATGCTCGAACGGCTCGCACGGGCTGCATCGCTCATCTATGTCGGTCGTGCAACATCGGGTTCGTATGCATGAATCACCTTGAAATATTGACGTTGCTCACCGTATTGTTACAGCATCGTGGACGCTTACCCGCCGCAGGGAATACCACCGGGATGCGCGGGGCTATGGCCCTTCGTCGGTCTATCGCCACGAAACTCGCCGTGCCCGGAGTCAGGAGGTCGCGGTTTACTGTTGAGTGCGCTTACGCCAATGCTAGCTCAGGAGGATGGCAACATTTCTTTCGCGATCTAATCTCTGTATCTGATATGAAATCAGGAACCACATACTACTTGTCGCGTTAAAACTGTTTTAGCACGTCTGGCTGCGAAACCGTTGTTCAATCCGTGATCATAATAATACAAAGGTGTAATCCCGAGATCAGGTTGATACTTCATCGACTGTCAATACCCCGCGCCGCCCCGAAGACTATACGATTCCTGTTCTATGCAGGCCGTTAGGATTGGTCTCGGCGCCAAACATAGCCGGATGCATCGCTTACAGAGGGCGTCAGCTGAGTTTTGGTTATATTCTCGTTGCCATGACGGCCTGCCAGTCTCGTTTCCCGGCGAGTCGCAGGTCAACAGCGGGTTTTGTCTTTTTCGTTGAACCTTCGGTGCTCCCGGGCTCCGAGTCGGCACTGCGCGAGCGTCGGGGCGTGAAGAAACCCTTGAGACCGAGGCATTTTTTGAGGGAAGGTCGCCCTGATGACGAGCTTCCCTGTGATGACTCCCGGGCGGAATCCACGCCTTTCTTTGTGGATGAATGGGAGGTAGCCATAGAACTTCTCGTGGATCTACAGCACTCCGTCAGGGCAGATGTCCACGGTGTTGGTGACGAGAGGCGCGCGTAAGGCCCCGAGCTCTGGGGTATGGTCATGTCATGGGCAAAATGCGAAGCGGGCGCGGTAGAGCGGTTGGTTGAGTATGGCGAACCGCTTGGTGGGACAAGCCACTGAATATCGCTGTAGAAGACACGTCTGCGAATAAGCCATACATATATTAAACCATGGACGAGTCATTGGCCAATATCGCGAAGGTACTCACTACTAAGCAACGGCCTTCATTGAGGTGACTCGCGTGAATATGAAATGGGTAAGAAGGTTTCATGGCTGTCCCAAGTTCATCGAGCAGTACGTATACTTATGCAATATGGCCTCCCTGCCTTCGCTGAGTCATGCGGCGACAGCGGCGCAGTCGTTGAAGACCATGCTGTCCGGGCAGAACCCGGTAGTGTCGGGATATTGCAACGCATACTTATAGGATGGATGTCGTGCTAGCGGAACAGTGAGGGATCGTATGGTGAGACATCGCAGCACCGCGCAGCGTGGACCGTACATACAATAAGTTCGTGCCTGCTTCAGTGCTTCTATGTACCAACATGCCACGTGGGATGGCTGCGTGACTGTAGTACTGTCACGTACATACTCGACCTCTAGTAGACGACATGGTCATCATCAAAGGCAGCAGGCCGCTTCCTCAGCCTCGAGACATCAAACTCATTGTCTCTGATGTCGACGGTTCGTGGTCCTTGGATGTGCAACACTCTGGTCCCCTGATCGTATTGACGCTCAGGTACACTTCTTGACTCCCACCATGAACTACCGGTGACGAACCCCACCCATAAGGTTATCCGCCGAATCCGAGCGGATCATCCGACACTCCCTATTGTCATCTCGACGGGCAAGCAGTACACGGCGACTGCCTCGTTGCGTGAACAACTAGATCTGCATCCTTTCAATGCCTGCCATCTGAACGGCAACGTCATCTATAATCCGGATGGGTCCGTGATCATGGACTCTGGGCTCGATATCGGCGTCGTGAACGAGGTGTACGCTGACATGAAAAATCGCGGTGTGAGCCTCTTCCTGTATGACTATGAGAGGGTTCATCAGGTGTTGTACGGGGCGAACGACGATCACCCAGGAATCTGGGCCCAGAAGCTGCGCGGATATGGCGAAACCGTTCTTGAATATACAGAAGCGGAGAGCATGGAGATCATGGACAAGGTGACGAAGGGTGCTATAAAGGTGATCAAGATGGCCGTCTGCCAGGATGAGGAAGCGTTACCGGGTACGTTTTACCATCTGTATTTCTGAATCAGGCTGACCCGCGAAATCCATAGCTACCCGCAATGTACTCGGCAACTTCCCCTCAGACTCCTTCGCCCTGACTCAAGCCCTCACGTTTTGCTGCGAGCTTATCCCTTCTAGTCACAACAAAGGCACCGCTTTAACCGCTCTGGTACGGCATCTGAACGAGGTTCATGCCCTAGGTATTGAGCCGGAAAATGTCATTACTTTCGGTGACGGCGAGAACGACGTGAGCATGTTCAAAGTCGCGGGCATGAGCGTCGCGATGGGTATGTGATTCTGTTGTGGTTTGTTCAGCATTCTGTCATTGACCGCCTCCACAACTCATCTAGGTAACGCAATGGCGAGTGCAAAGGCTGAGGCGGTTTGGGAGACAGCCACAAACGATGAAGGGGGTGTGGGTCTGTTCCTTGAGAAGGTGTTTTATCCCAACGAAGCGCAGCATTGGGCACACTATGCTTGACCAATAAGCGACGTGCTGAGGATGCGCCGTACTTCGTTATATGGAATCTAGATGCGTAACTTGAAATTAAATAGAGCGTGCTCCTAGACATCCTTGTGACACAGCGCAGGAATCTTTACTTTGTTCACCAGAGATCATGCGAGGGCAACTTCAACGTCGTCAACACTGAAACGTGCCAGACGAGGCGGACGGGCATAAAGAAGATCCCGATATCAAGGCACCCCCAGAAAACTGCCAGATTTCGTGAGCTGGACGCTCGAATATCAACCATAGTATGGCACACCGGATAGAAGCAGTCGAAGTCGAATGTCCCGCTGGTGGAGCCTTCATGCGCGTATCTGGAACGTAGTTCAATTGTGGCATCCTACTCGAGTCTTTCCGTACGCACGCGCAGAACGTTGGTTCTCCCAAACCCCCGCTCTGACCGAAGAGGTCGTACGTGTTACCATCAGCGGCTTCGTAAGTCGGTCCGTCGCATGCTGCACAGGTTGACCTCTTCAGGAGACTAGCTGCTGCCGTCACTGTGAAAGGCCAGGCGAGAACGAGCGCCGAAAATAACCGGATGGTGATGCGCATGGTGTTTGCTGAGAAAGCGCGACCGCTGCTAGCTGTTGGGCATCGACAATCCTATTGTACTTTATACCCTTCCGTTCGGTAGACTGCATCCTGCTAAATGTTCGTAAGCATATGCAGGACTGAGAATGAAATCTGCGGTACCTCGGCGATGAAACCACAGAAAAATGCGTAGAACCTTCTGCTTTTCGATGTCTTGGTGGACTGCCATCATCTCCTGTGAGGAAGCGAAGGTGATTCAATTCACTGAACACTGGCCAGTAATAGCAGTTAAGGACGTACGTGAACTTATAGACACCCTGGAAAGATCTTGTGTTTCAGGAATGTAGTAGACAAGTCAGAGCACCGCGCAATACGGACCCTGCGACAGCATTGAGCAATACATATTCCGGGCGACGGGTGTGCGCGAGAACCGCCGGGTTGGGTTGCCATCAAGAGGGTAAGGGGAGGGGAGGTCATCACCGACGGGCAATGTATTCAATGTTCATGCGAAGCAACGTGAACACAATCCCAGTAAAAAGTTGCCCCTCATTAACCCAGCACTAACATTATACCGACGCATTGTAAGCCAAAAAGCGAAAAGAGGGCCAGCCCCCAGTGCATACAGGAATACGGTGGGCGCCACCTTCTAAAAGCTACCGGTGCTACCCGTGCCGTCCTCCTGCTCGGATTCCTCCGACCATGGGTCAAGGTCGAAGTCCCGCCTCCCCTCCCAGCAGCCTTCGCCACCAGATAAACCGTCAACCCAGTCTCCCTTCGCGTCCGCGAAGGTGTAGAGGTCCCTCGCCGCAGGGAGGTACAAGAAGGCGGTGCTCCTCCTGCCCTTGCCTTCGTGCATGTGCTCGGATTCGCCTTCCGACGACGAGTCTGATGCGTTACCCTGCGCTTTCCCGATCTCCCGAAGTACATGCGTCACCCATTCCGTCGCGGCATATCCCGAGCAACACCGGCATTCTGTAGTTGGCGGCATTCTCATCGGTTGCGTCACTAGGAGCTCCAACGCTGCGGGCAGGATCGCGGGCCAGTCTACATCGCGAGCCACGATCGAATCCTCGCCCTGCAGCCTGCGTCGGAAGGAAGACTTCACACCCTCCAATGAGGATGGCGCAAGCCCACGCTCGTGTAGTTCGGCATACAGCTTGGTGGTGAAGCCGAGATCTCTCGAGATGCCGGTCAACCGGAGGTGCGAGATGATTGGCGAACGAATGGCGAGTTGACGAATGACGCGCTGGAAGGAGCCGGTGCCAACAAGGTGAATCTTGCGGAGGGAGGGCAGATCAACATTTGCGTGATCGGTCTCCGGGGTCATATCGTCCGCGAATCGTGGTTCCCAGGCACTTCCTCTGATCGTGAGCTCTTCGAGAACTGGATACGAAAAGTTCAGCGCGTCTTGAATATACCAGGAACTCTGGTAAGGGTCGTGGAAGAGGGCAGTGAGCGTCTTCAAGGTGGACGCAGCGTAGGAAAGGATACGGTTCTGCACTTCTCTCCATTCCGCGCGTTCGTGGTTCCATTCGCGAAGCCTGAGAGCGTCTTCTTCGTCCCTGGGAGCACGGTGACGGTACCAATCAACAACCGCATATTCCTCCACGCGGTCGGAGAGTAGGAGGTGGGCAATGACCTTTCGGCGTGAATGATTGCTAGAGTCGAGGACCGTAAGGAGCGCACGAGCTTGCTTGAGCCCACTGACGGCCACATTGCGCCATTGCAGTGGTTGAGAGACGTCGTGAAGGTAGGTCGATACAAGTGATAATGAGCGCGCCGTGGTGCCGTCGTCCATGCACGCATATTCGCATATGCGAAATGCGATTTCGGGAGGGCAGTGATCCATCTTCGCGGTGAACAAAGGAATGGGGACTGTCGTCGTGGTGCGGACAGAGCGTGGACGGAGATAGGGGTGCGCTGGCAAATGATTTGAGAACAGTGCGAGTCGGCGATAAGCTCGGAACGCACCACGGACATCGGCACTGGGCCATGGGAACAAGGACCCCCGCCTTTGATCAGCCCGTAGGCGAACGGCCGCGACGCTCCCAGACAACATCACTGCATTGCGGACCCAGGGCTCATCCGTTGACGTACGAACCACTTGGCACAGGACCTAAGTATGGACCAGCCCACAAGCCTCGTACGACGTTCTGGACTGCTCAACCTACAACCACCGTACGACGTTCTGGACGATGTTCGTCCGGCGTGAGCAGATGCGCAGTATCGGACACCATCGGCCGAAGCGGAGCACATCGATCACTCGACGCCCGTGACAATTTGCGACGCCGGATGCAGGACGGAGATCGTTTGAAGGCAGCGGCGATGGATTCTTCGTGTGGGCAGTCCATTCCGCGGTTCCCAGCCCCGGTAGACGTCTTGCGATGCGCCAGGACGATCTGCATTCCAATAGCTGAACGGGTGCTGAGCGTTGAGCCTTGCAAGGGAGAACGGTGGATGAGTGAATTGCCTAACCGATCAAAACCTCCTAAGTCCACTGACCCTTCTAGCTTCAAGCTTCACCTCTGAAGTTCAGATGTATCGTAGCTCGGAGATCGAACTAGGGATAACATGGTTGAGTGCGCTGGACGGATCTCGGTAAATTAATTCTGTCACGGGGAGGCGCTGGTGGTGGTAGAGCACAAACAACAAGCGAGACGCGACGGTTGCCTTCAACAGAATTGACGAGCGCTGGGGACGCGTCCTCGCATGACGTCATGGGTCTGGAGTCTGGACCTCAGGCCTCAGGGTAGGCACAGTGAATGCAGTTGCTGACCGCAAATCGAAGTCGACCATTCAAGTAATCTTTCGTTCATCTTTCACATGCAATTCGTTGAACGAGCTTCTCAGTCGTGACGGGCATAGCTACGGTAGACAACGATGACAAAACGAGATATTAACTAGAGGATGCGCGTTCGTAGTATAAGGATGTTCAATGCAAGAGGAAGTCCGTGGAAGAGTCCTTAGCAGCTGAGAAACCATCAACACCACAAATACGGTCATGTCCGTACGCAGGTACAAAACTTCGAATGGAAAACGAACAAAGTCAAGGAGATCCACGTGTCATCGATCACGGAGCAGCTTGTTTAGCATGTCCAGGAACTCTGGATGTGGTAAAAAGTCGTCAGCGCGCTACACCATACAGGGCGTTCAAAGTACACTCACGTCGCGAGTGCCTGGTGTGTTGTAGGCTGACATCGATAGCATAAGCGCCTACGACGACGTCGAGGATCAGATCACTACGCACAGTGGTATGGCGCGAGGCCGCCAAGGCACTCAGCAACAGTGCCGAACGTGTAACCAGCGGCTTTCAGCTTCTGGATCGCGAAAGGCAAGACCTGATCGCTGGATACGTCGAAAGCGGAGACACATAAGACGCCTGCTGTGAGAAAGGATGTATCGCTTACGCGGTGGTCTCGTAAGTTTCGTGGTTGAGGGCTAGGATGTTTGCCGGGTGTTGCTTGATCGCGTTCGTATATAGTTGCTCCGACTGCGCGACGGTAGCCCCTATGGAATCCTGCGAATCGAAGTCCCAGAGCACCACTGTTTCGATGAGGGTAAATCCATTCAGTGGTGATAGATGAAATGTGTATGTGGTACACGTACAGCTTTGATTACGCTCGCCTGCAACCTGGACGACGAGGTCGTTGTAGTTCCCATACGGGGGACGCATGAAAGCGGGCTTAGCACCCAATATGTTCTTCATCGCCACTGTACCAAGAAGACGGTCGTCGGTGATCATTCGCGGCGATAGACGCGACAGGCCCACTCACGTTCAACCCTGCGGATGCGAATAGTCAGAAAGAACTCTTGCACAGACTATCAAAGAGACTGAGCGCACTTCCACATTTGATCGTGAACTTGCCAAACACCAGGTCAATGAAGACACCCAGGCTAATCGCAGATACTCACTTTCGTCGAATGTCAGCTGTAAGACATTAGATTAGATATTGGTGTGAACTCAGTCCACCGAACTCGCGTACTGTGGTCAAATCTGGATGCGACCAAGTATGGCTGCCAATCAGATGCCCAGCTGCAAAGACCAGTCAGTAAGCGCAAGACGTGGCACCTTGAAAGCGCACCATTGTATGTGTGCTGCAGGCTCTGGACGACGGATTCGTCGTAAATGCAGTCATCTATAGTGAAGGTTGATGAAATCTGTTCCTGCGCAATAGAATTCAGGCGAACTCACAGTTGTCTCCGTTACTATAGCCAGAAGAGCATGTGAGCGTGTACAGGAGAAGCGCGTCGTAGACGAAACTGACACGAAGAAGGTGCCCTTGATACCAGCTTTGGTGAGAGTGTCGGAAATGCTCGTCTCTGTGCCACACATGAATCACACTCTGGTACTATCAGCCGCTAGTCAGGCATACCGTAGATGTCTGCAAGTCTGCGTCAGAAACAAAGCAGAAAGATCAAAAATTGAACTCACAGGGTCCGTCGTCGAAAGTAAGGGCAACCATATTCTTCACGGAACAGCCGGTGTAGACCTTCGCAGGACCTGCACGACCGACAAGGTGCATACTAGGCTGCTCTGTACCAGGAGTCGGCGACGTCTTGGCGACCAAAGCGAGAGCGAGGGGGACGAGTGCTGTAAACATTTTTCTCCTGCGGCTGGACTGTGTCGTAGAGAGGTTGTGGATAGTAGACAAGAACAGACACCGAAGACGCGGGGAGAGAGGATACTCTGTCACTTTTCGTCATACAATCCAACCGACATTTTATACAGATGTGCATCGATCTCGATCATCCCCGAGTCGTACGTTCTTTTCAAGCTCCGCGCGAAGGAACGAAGTGAGTTGACGTTTACGTTCTGGCATGCTTGGCAGGCGCGCCTCCCGTTCCGAGGATGTCAACGACGGCGAGTGGCGCCGGACCGAGCCAAGGAGGGAAAAGTGGGAAGGGTAGCCAGGGGTCAGGGCACGTAAGTTCACGGGGAAAGGCGGGCTTCAACGTATCCTGATCGAAAGCGGTCATGCGCCCTCTACCAGCACCCACGTACGCCGTCTACGCCGTGACGGCCAAGCCTCGTGCAGCGGCGAAGACACTCCGCAATGATCTAGGTGGCAGGACTGATGCCCGCGTACCTCCATGTGATCCCTCGACGACCCTCGACGTCGCGTACGGCCGTCGTGTGATGCAAATGACGCGACCGGGATGTTGTCGGTCCATGCAATAGGCGCCAGATTGTTTCGCGGACCAGCTCAAGAGAAATTCTGTATTCGTGCTGGTGGTGTTCGGCTGTGAGATGCCCAAGTACGCGTCGAAGACGGAGGAAGAGCCTCGAGGAGGTGGCTGTTTCGGAAGTGCTATTTTAAGCAATCCTTTTTGCGACCGCCAGCGGCGGCGAGCCTGCCATCGACTTGCGATTCTTCACATTCTGGACGGCAGCCTTCCCATATGGTCTGCGACCTAGGGGAGGCGTCAAGACTCTAGGCTACAACGCTGCTACATATTCAATGCATGCGCAAAGATAGGCTCCATATATATATAGCAAGAGCCCTCATCAACATCTCTGCTAATCGTGCACGGAAGACGCTCCTCGTTCATTAGGCCTCTTTTGTCAGTGGTCCTCGTATGGAAATCTTTCGAGGGCAGCACAAGGCTTGCGATTGGCTAGAGCTTGAACGTTGAAGCTTATCGCGAAGTCCCTATACTTATACTTATGAAACTCGTTCGTCGGGCTGCCCGGCATCGCATCGTTGGAAAGTGCTTCACCTGTAATGGACCGACGGAGGCAGCCCCACTTGGAGAACTATAGCCATATCTCCAGGCTTGTCAGACTGCGTCCGACGAGTTGATCAGACCCGAAATGAGATCATGCAAGAACGGACATGGATGGATTGCTCCTATCCACCTCGCACACTCATGGCTAGCGATGATAAGTCTACAGGTTGCATGATTGAAGTATCTATAAATACACCCGTTGCACTGTCGTGGTACATGGATCGAGGGATCCGCATCAAGGTCCAGGCAGTTTATGCATGTCCTTCAGGGGTATAATCGTCGACACGGGCTCGTTCCTACGATACCGCGACGGCGCGCGTTCGCGACGAGTTATCTGCGAGTCCATGTAGTACTCCTCGTCTAGTTCGTCAATCACCGGCTCGCCAAGATTGCCTACGACACGCCTCCAGTCTGTAAACTGGTGACTGGTGTAGAGACCTGTGGCATCCGCCGTATGGGCGAAGGCGAGCGATGCGTGCTGAGACGCGACCGGTTGCATGAACGTATCATCGTCTGCTGACCGAGGAGTATACCCTCGTAAGTTGAGTACAATCCTGTAGAGGAAGTTGTAGGTCGTCAAATCATCAACATCAGTAAGCTGTCACGCACCGCGAGATCATGATTGAGGTCATCAGCTCTGAGAATGGGGCAAAGAAAGGTTTCAAGGATTCGTCTTTGACGCTCTGAGGGCTCGTTATCGGCAAAATGACCTGCGTTCAGAATTCGGAACGCACGAAATAGACCACAACGTTTAATAAGTTCACTGAAAAAATGACGAAAAAGTACGCAATCCCATCCTGATAGAAAGATTAGAGCAACCATTGGCAACATGGCGAAGAATCGCCGTACTCGGAGGAATAGTCTGAAGGTACTGGAGGAATCTCCTTGAGTACCATCCTATCCGGTGAGATAATTTCACTCACGGCATGCTAGCACCTCGTTGTAGGTACTCCTTTGATCGCCAAAGGGTAAGCAGAAAAATGCAGCTATCGGTGACGAGTGGTCCAATCCAAAGGCCAGCATAGACTGATGTTCTGCCGATAAGGATACATCCCGTAGGAATTGGAACTTGCAGGGCTGTGGGGGCGATCAGAGTTTCATATAGGGATTGCGCTTCGGAGACTCACGAATGCCTTCTGCGAGAACTGCAGCCTGAACGCCGATTTGCGCCAGAAATACCAGGACAAGCACGAGCAGAACCAGCTTATTGCCTCCGTACAGCGCGTAAACTCGAAGTATCATGACGACTATCCCGGATAAGCGTCATGAGGCGCACGAAGGTTTCGGGCAAGTGGAACCTACTCTGACATATCCCAGTAACCGTAACAGAACCGGCACCTTCGTATTTCACGAATCGTCGGCATCTAGCCTATATTGAGTGATGACGACACTGAAGGACGAGAAGGAGCTTACACCTAGCATGTGGTTGTCAGCGAGCAAGCTAATCTCCGTCCTCAGCGGATGTCCTTACCTCCGCAGGCCACTCCGACTGGAACGCGGTCATCACCACGATGAATTCCAGTGGCGTCAGATACCGATTCAATACGAACAAAATGGATGCACCGGTCCATGGTTTCTTCCAGATTCTCTCGACCTAGAGAAAGAAAATAGCGTCACATATACATGGACTCAACTCCGCTCTGCATGAGCGCACCTCCTCTCCGAAATTCAACACTATCATACACGTGCCAATTAGTGGTTTGAGCGAGTATGCTCTGTACGGAGGAGCACGTACAATGGTCATATATCAGCAGGCTGAAGAGACCGGTCTGGAACATATTCTGCATCTGCCTGTTTCCCAATATTCATTACCATAATCTGAGTACATGCGCGGGGTACGTACAAGTCATTCTTGAAGGTAACCAGTGCAGGTGGTAGAGGGGCGCCATCCATCGCGACTCCGAAAGCCATCAGGCTCGTCCGGGTGAATCGTAGAGGTAGGAACAGCGCAAGGGTACTCCCAAATGCATCGTCTACTTATGTACTCAGAGTCAAATGAGATGATCGCGAAGTTAAAGCCTCCAAAACGATCTTGCTGCGAACGTCAAGCACTTCCAGGACGCAAGAAGTGATGGCAAGCCATGTTGGTAGTCTTAGCTCTCATGAACTCCCGAACAGGGATAGCCGCTTCGGTAATGCCGATTGGCTCGGCCGGTGGCATGGTGCATGCCGAAGCCTACCATCTGCAAGATACAGATAAACAGTCCACCAGCACACGTGCAAATCCGAATCTTTCGCAGACCTGTGCCAGGTTCCTCAACTCCGTTTGCCCAGCGCTACGGTACATCCCACCTCACCCACTCCGACTACGGGACGACGATCCACCCCATTCCCGACGAAGAGCTTGTAGACAGCTGATTCGGACCTGGGTCTCCACGCGACGGTCTGGCACGTCTCAGAGACAGGATATCGATCCTCCGATGGCTTCCTGTTATAGCTTCGACGAGTGGCATTGATGATAGCCCAACCTATCGGTAGGAAAAGTGATCGCCAGCGATCCTCCGATCAGAATCCGACGGTGTGAGGCGGATGTTATCGCGGGCGGTCTCGGTGAACATGGCTTTGCCATGGCTGTCAGGTGCAGAGCGTTGATATGATAAGATGCGCAAATGTTGAGCCTAACGTGCTCCCAAAGTCAATGGAACTTGCAGCTGAGCACTCGGGCATGTCGCGATACTCGTGGAAGCTGCAGTTAGGTAATCATCACCAGTGAGATCAGGAAGCGGCGTCTTTGGGATACTACTTGCTCCTTGAGTAGGTTACAACGACACGGGCCCCACATACCAGGGTCTGGCCGTGTTAACAACAGCTCAGCGCTCAGATTTCACACATGTTCCCCAAGAGATTGATATTCTACCTGGTGCGCCGGTTACGGTTGCGAGCGGGGTCAGGTCACTGAAAAATAAATTTGCGCGCGTTCGACCCGGGCCGGAGGAGATTGCTTGCCTATCGGGGTCAGCTCTACTTGCCCTGGTTAAAGGACCCCTATAGACCTAAATCTAGTGAACTACTCCTTCGCCCATCCTTCGCCTAATACACAACGAAACTGTACATTATACTGGTACTCGCCGGAGTGCCTGCTATTTTGTGATCCGTTTTACCTCCTTCTAGTCGCACTTGTGCCTTAGTACAATTGCGTGGAGGGTGAATGAGACGGCTCTCCAGGCCTTTTACATCAGGGGGAGTGGAAAGACCATCCCGTGCTCAAAGCTATACATCAGGCTCACAAAGAAGCAGGCAAGCAAGACGTGGTATCATCCTTTTATATGTGACCGTGGGAATTATAAATGTGATGCGCTTCACTTCAAGATGGTCGGGACCAGTGAGAATAAGATTCCCACGAGTATTTGAGGTAACCTGTTCAAGTGATGGAAAAAATTTCTCCGACTTACCTACCTACCACGTCCAAGCTCAGATCAAGCTAAAACCTTAAAAAATATATTAATTGTACCATACGTACTCATACGAGACGCATATGCTGCATGCCCCGGAGTCGAACACGCGCAACTTGACCCCGCTCGGCAACCGTAGCCGGTGCCGCAGGATTTCAGTAGTACAATGCTTCCGTCAAAGGCCGTAGAAGTATTAACTGGAATATTTACCCGTGTTTATCGTTGTTGGTGGTTCACCGAATCAGAAAGGCTTCATTCTACGATAGTAAACATGGCTACATCCTGAGTCACCCGTGAATCGTGGAAAGGTAATGCAAGGATACCGCACACTCGTAGATGACATTCCAGTGACCGTCTATTCTCAGATATCAGGGACATGGAACGATAAAACACAGGTCGCAAGCGCCTACGTGCCATGACAAGCTGAGGCCGGCATGGCTCGAAGACTTCCGCGAGCCTCGACTGCGCAGCTTCTAGAATGAGCGGATCGCAGGTTGGGTGCCAAGAAAACCGGCGCGCCGTCGTTGTTTGCGCCATCATGGCAAGCGGCGAGCTTGGGCAAGCATCATCATGACGGGCACACGGAACCTACAGTGATCTCATGCAGATGTCATTAACCGTTGAGTGACAAGAACCTCTTAGTAGCAATGTCATGAAAGCATCTAAACCCGCATGGGATGTCGCATCATACGACCTAGAGCGCGCCTCGTTAGCACATAACGGCAGGACACTCCACGGCACCTTCGTAAATCGACGACGAGTCCGGGCCTCTGGCTGCGGCTACAAAAGGCGCGAGATGGGCATGTTTGAGTCGGCTTCGGATGGGAGGAAACATAGTAACCTGGCACACATGATTGGTCCGGCTGGGTGGTCTGGTGACCACCTGACTGCGATGAAACGTCATCAGTGCGAAGTCGACGGGAAGATCTGCCATGACGCTCTCGTCGAGCGAACAGGTCCACGAACTCGACACCTGATAGAACGAAGAGACATTCAATGCCAAGATGTGCCACTCTAGCCTAGGCCATGGAGCGAGAGGATAGTCTTTCATCAGGGAAGGCGATCGACTGCGAAATCGGCGCCAACTTGTCGAACGCGTCTCACCACACATCATGCAAACCTAGTGCTGTTGGCTAATACGCAACGACCACCGGGAGAAGAAGAACGCCGGTGAGAGTCGAGTAGCCCGCTGCATTGGCGGCCGCTATCTCAAACCGATCTTGAACACATACGATGTCCAGATTGAAGCAGGTCTGTCTATGTCTACTGCATCTTTGAGCGTCTATCAGAAGCAATTTTAGCGTCACGGGGTTAACACTCTCACTTTCCACGGTCCTTTGCAGTTGAGGGGTTCGCACGGACGAATGGCTCGCCATACAATAGACAGAGATGCTGTCCAAGCCAATACGAGTACAAAGTGATTGTGCTTCGCGAACCCCTCCCTTGAATGGCGAAGCCAACCTTGGTGGTGGGCAGTGGGCGCTGAGGGTATGCAGTTGAGAAGACGTGACGGTACCGGTCTCCATTTCCGCCTCACGGATGTAACACATGCATGTGTCCCCCTCACAGTAGCAAGGCTGCGGAGACAGCATAGAAGAAGCAGCGACAAGGCATTTCCATCCATGCAAGGAGCAAGAGGCTAGATCTGATCCTGATGAGCGAACTGACTGTCGGAGGACACGCGAACTCTTCATATCGCTGTTACCGATCGGTAGGAGATGCAGAACGTGTTGTCGAGATGAGTTTCAGCGCGAGACCATAACTTGATCTGATCCTGATGAGCGAACTGACTGTCGGAGGACACGCGAACTCTTCATATCGCTGTTACCGATCGGTAGGAGATGCAGAACGTGTTGTCGAGATGAGTTTCAGCGCGAGACCATAACTTGGATCGCGAGTCGATGGAGTACACAGCTGCCAGCCCATCGCCGCCGGCCGGTCCCGTCCGAAGTTGACAAAGTTGGGACAAAGAGAGCAAGTAGCGATGACACAGCCACGGATTGCGCCGCCATCATTGTCCCGGGCTCTGCAACGGCGGGTCTTCCTCGCAATTGTACAACAACAGCCTGCTGGCGGTACGGACAGCACCTCACGGATATAAGACCGGGCAGGATATGTCGGTTCGCTCTCAACCAACACGGTGCCCCACTCTCCCAACGGCTGTCGTCATTACGCGGTTCTCGCGCTGTTCCGGTACGCCTCGTTGCAAGAAGGTCCCGCGTTTCTCTCCAACAACTCGCAACCGAAATACTAGACCTGCGCACGCATCACCTGAGTTGTCTGCGCATTCAGTCCCGGTCTTGGGCCCCGTAGGACCTCGACCCGACCCCTCCCCCCACAAAGAGCGCATATAAACCGGCAAGAGATTTCTCGTCTCGGCACCTTCGCCCACCCCGTGTCAATCACCTCGAGGCTTTGATCCACGTAAAGCCCCTCGGACTCTCGGACGTCAACCAGTAAAAGCGTAATCCGCTTGCACATTTTGCATAATCCACTGGGTAGGCCGCAACACGCCCCGGGACGGTCCTCCGAGCTTCATGTCGTTGACGGTTCTCCCCTTCCTTCCGTAGGACTACAAAACCCCCAGCTGCTTCTCCGCCTCCTGCCTATTCTCTCGCATTCCCCACATCGCCAATCCCGGACGCCCCGCACTGTTCCTCCCGCTCCCTGTGACGGATCCGCGATATGACCGAATACGACTACTCCCCCGACGCCTACGAGAAGTACCTCGCCAGGCAGCAGCGCATCGCCGACTGGGTCGACTCCACCAACTCCCAAGCGCACCGATACAAGAACCCCTTCGTGCACGCGCCGTCGTCCATCGCGCCGTCTACCTCGTCGGATTCGTCGCATTTTTCCCGCCGCCCCTCCTCGCGGCACGACCGAGACCTGCGGAGGTCCAAGACGCTGAGCCCGACCCGCTCCGCAACGCGGGCGCTCTCGCCGTCCAGCCCCCGTTCTTCCCATTCGCACGCCTCCCCTACATCGTCACATCAATCCCATGCGGGCTACGTATACAGTCCCCCGGCGACATACACGTATCCGGCGGCAAGCCATGCCACCGCCCAACACGTGGTCTACTCTCCGCAGGCGCAGTTCGCGTACTCGTCGTCGCCGCCTGGACAATACTACACGACCTTCCAACCGTCGAGCTCTCATGCACCCCCCGGCTCCACGTCCTACTCGTCCACCAACCCGAATGTGCGATATGTTACCTACGATGCCTCCGCGCGGCGCGTGGAGATCCCGGCACCCCGACCAGGACAAACCTATATCGTGTATCCTCCCCCCGGCGGTCGCGTTGAAGTCATGGTGAGTCTGCTTCCTCGTCATTTCGTAACACGCGCTTACGTTTCGTCTTGTTTTCCTTCTCTAGTCGAGCTCTTCGCGGACGTCCTCGTCGCCAACCTCTCCCATCTCGCCCACTTCCTCGTCAAGGTTGACAAAGAAGAAGGATCAACCCATCATCGGTTTCTTCAAGAACCGTATATCGCGCGACCCATCCAAGGGTCGTCGCACGTAATCGCCGTGATGAGCGCCCACGTTCGCACATCGCCGACAGCGTCGACGGTGTCGATCATTTTTTGATGGGCAGGCAGGACACGACCTTTGTCATTCCTTTCACTTGCTCCAGGTTGCTCCGTGTCTGGCCTTCGCCGCCTTTCGGAGAGCAGATGGATATCCCGTCACGAATACCTTGCATATAATGAAGATACCTCCCGGGTACCGAAAAGAGCAGCTTCTGTGTATAATAAGGAACACGGTTTGTAGATGATGTAGAACATAAGGAATTGTACTTTTAGTTAGAACGTTACGATAGGATCATAATGAATCTCACGAACGGAACGCCGGTTTGCCCAACACGAACACATTCTGATCATCGATTTCCGTACGTGTATCGCCCAATGCCGCCCAATCAGTGCCTCCTCTAGGTGTACGACAAATTTGATCCGCTGCCGAACATAAGCAAGTTTCATCTTTCTGCGCCGTGTGACAAACTGCAAGAGAGTTTAATGGTTTCAGCTTGCGAATTTGCAGTGCTACTACGGACTCGGTTGCGGCACGCTGTATTGAGTACTTACGCCATGTTCTTGAGACTGGACATGCCAAACTTGTACTAACACAATGTAGTACCGGTACCTTGCTCTGAGTCCCGAAAGCGATACCGTAAACTTGCCTTATCCCTTTCAGTTGCCTAAGCCACCTCGCGGGGTTGCGGGTGCACCGGCATGACGATGTTCACAGTTACCAAGTTCCCGTGCACATGCGTCCCATTCCGGGTTCCTTACTTATGCCGTCGTCGTCGTCGAAATCACGGTGAATGGAGGGATCGCGCACAGACCGCAGCTAGGACTGGTGTACTCGCCTCTACCGTATCATTCAGACGATCACGGACGTCACTGGCGTTCTCACTGCCGGCAGCTCCCATACGCACCTCATATAACTTTTCCTGGCCGCCATGGCAGGCATCGATGTTGCCGACCGAGGCCAAGTATAGCGTCGGTCAAGTTGCGCTCACCACGTCGCCAAGCGCTAGCTTCGACCTTCGAAGGACCGCGGTCTACCGGTGCGCCAACGGTACACGCAAAATTTCGGCGTTGCTTGCAAGCTGCAGCCCGGGTCGCAGCGAAGGGCCGGACCGTCAGTGCATGAGATGCATCGGTGATGGGCGTCGCCACGGTGGTTTCCCCTGGAGGCTGTGTTCCGACTCCGGGCAACCGCTCTCGGCGGTGCCTCGGCGACGGTGCGGGGGCCTGTGCACGCCGACTCGAGGAGATCTCCTCCACTTCCTCTCCCAGCCCAATTGGATCTGCGTGGACGTCCTGCTCGTTAGGCTTTGATCGGTAGGTGCGCTCACTCACATAGCCCGCGCCTTGACATGTTCCCGTCGCGACGCCGGGGTCTTCGATCGCTGATCTGGAATTCACCGAAAGGCTCGGAAATCATCGATACTGGGTGCAATCAACCGTTAGGCGCCCGCGGGATGTATAAGACATAACGCTGGCAGATACCCAAAGCAAAAAGGCTCAGATTATTCTCTGCCCCTTCGTCGGCTCCACCTTTACTTGTTTTCTGCTCCTCGCAAAGCCGGGACCTCGCACAGCAAAGTGCGGGCCTGTGCGCTCTCTCTACTCGTTGCACACAGCCTCAGGAGGCGCAAACGCATCCCTTTTGAGACACCAGCGTCGGGGGCGGGATAGAAATTCCTGGCGATCAGCCCATCCGCGATGTCTGGCCCATTCGTGTACAATCCCCCCGCGTACGTTCCAAGCCCGTACCTAGTGCCGTACTTCAACCAGGCCCCGCCGTCGCCTTTCATCCCGCCCCAGTTCGCGCCGGCACCACCGTCTACCGGGAGTTCGCGTCGCGTGCGCTTCGAGGATGACGACGACGTCCCGCCCCTGACGTCCCGGCCGCGATCATGGCACGCGCCCCCGATGCAGGTTCCTTCCTTCGCGACGCCTCCTCAGACCTTTGTGCCCCTGCCCCAGGCCGGGTATCTTCACCCCCAGGCCGCGTTCGCACCGGGGCATCACAGGAGCCGGTCGTTCGGGGGATCCACGGCCACACCACCCATGTTCACTCAGCCATGGTACCTCTGCACACCCACCATGCAGCCGGTGATGCAGCCTATTTCACCCATGCCGGTATCCCCCATGCTGCTGCCGGCCGCAACACCCCCGCCTCCTCCTATGCAGATTCACCCGTACCTGAATGGCGCATCACCCCGCCCGGACTTTGTCTTCGACCTCAGCGCGAGCACCTTTCGTCCCATGAAGATCCGCCACGACGGCGAAGCGGTTCCCCTCGCGGTAGCGGACTTTGACCAACCCGCAACCCATCCGCCGGTTTACCGCATGCGCATCACCTGCGACGCCATACCGCAATGGCCGATCGACCTCGAATACTCGCGTTCTCCGAGATCCGTGCTTCTAGAGATCCCGAGCCCGAGTGGCGGTTCTATGGTTCCTATCACCCTGCGTGATGTGCTTCTCGCTGTCTATCAGCATCTGCAAACTCAAATCACCCATCTCGAGTATGTTCCGTCCTTTATCGATATGAGGACACGTGTTGATAACTTCTCTACGCAGTTGGGCACGCTTGTCGTACTCGGAGGAGGTAGCCATATCTCGCGCCTACACTCGCCGATGCCGTGCGGCATCTAATCGGGCTGTAATGGCTGAGCAGGCGGAAGCGAGCCAAGGAGTTAAGAGGATCGACTATTTATTGGACCGTTACATGTTCAAGGGTTTGGTTCGCGCGGGAGCGGCACACGAAGGATTCGAAAACGTGAAGCTGATGGTGGGACCGCGCTGACGATCTTGGACGACGACTATGTGCATGACAAAATCTATATATATCACTTCCATTGCTCTCCTTCGTACGTATGATCTAGATTGGAAAGGACAGTACATTACCATCGCTACGACTATGTTTATATGTACAATATGTAGGACGATGTCGATGTGAACTGGATGACGTTCAACAGTAGTACTGGCAAAAATCTGCCTTTGCTTGGTCGATCCCTTGTTTGACGCCGTGCTCTGAGAGAACATCATCAACTGACGGCCAGATTTCATAAGATGTTTTGACCCACCCAACTCCCAAGCACTCTTTTCGCCGCCTTTCTCGTTCACATGCGCAGAGAGGCGCAGTTTCACCCAAGCGCCCTTGAGCCCGATCTCAGGAACCGGTATGCCCGGAGACACTGAGGTGAAGAATCTGTACGCGTCGTCCCACCCAGTGACAAAACCTTCTCCGAAACGCCAGTGTTCATAATGGCCCGGATATTGAGACCACCAATTAGAATGGTCCGCTATCATGGTCTGATGAGCATAGGAGCCAAGGCGGCTAAGTTTTCGTCAGCGTACCCAACGACTTATCCCGCGCGGCGTCCCGCCTTTCCTGGATTTCGTTCGGGTCGTCGACGGTACGAGAAGCTCGTAGACCTATCCAGGGAGGAAACACGCCTTGCTCCACCGCCGTCCGCCAGCTCCATCCCGTATCGCCCCCATGTTCCTTCTTGTACGTCCAGAAGAACCATCCTGAGCATAGGCGCTCGAAGAGATCGAGCTCTGCTTTGACGTAATCCCTTTTCGCCGCCGACTCGTTGGACCCGAGCCCTTCGAGCGACTTCGGATTCAGCGCTCCTGACCATTCTCCGACGATCAGGCCACCGCCGGCGCTTTCGAGTTTCTCCACGGCCGTAGCGAACTGTTTCGGCGTCCCCGCGTTGGTATCCGACAAGTTCTGTATGTGTTGCGAGACGGGCGTTGCCGCATCCCCAGATGTGAAACAGCGGTAAAGATGATGGTCGATCACGAGTAGAGGCGTCTTCGCGCTTGCGACGTAGTTGACATAGTTCTCCGTCCACCAGCAATCGCTGAGGACGATGGGAATCGTGCTATCGATCGAGCGTAGCGCTCGGGTAGCGTCGGTGTACCAGTTTTCCAGAGCCTTGTGGTTGCCGTTCGGCTGCGGCTCGTTGAGGAGCTCGATGCCCACCACATTAGGTAACGGGGGAGACCTGGAATTGCAGAAGGCCTTGACTTGAGAGAGTAGGACCTCAAGAACGTGCACGGCGTGATGCATGTGCTTTTTATTGGAGAAGAACTTTGGATTGTTCGAGGTACCGGCATGCGAATCGTGGTTCTGTTTACCGGGAGCGGCGTGGAGATCTAGCAAGGGAATTAGTGGGGAAGGTTGCGCGAATGTGCAACAGAATACCTAAGAGTACGCCAATACCATGTCGGTAAGCGCTCTCGATTGCAGCAGTGATACGAGGCCATGCTCCCTCAAATACGTGCTGGAAGTCCGCGAAGTCGGTCCCAGGTAGCACAGAAGGGTCCGCTCCGCAGAGGTGATAATAACCAATCTGCCCATGCGATCAATGAAGACGAGAATGAACGACGAGAAGCTACGTACGGGGATTCGGACGGTATTGATGCCCTTACTTGCGACATAAGCCCAGTCCACATCTGTGATCCAGGTGTCCCAGTGGTGCTCGAGGATAGCCCTTGCATTCTCGCCACGGGCGACGTCGAGGTCGCTTGAGCCTGGAGAAGCCGCTGACCGGAAGGGGCTGTCTGCTATCCACTTCTCGAGAACAAACCATGAACCTGATACAGATTACGCCATCAGGTGAGAGACTTGAGTTGCGATTCATGTTCACAATACTGACCGAGGTTAACACCGCGCTGCTTGCGGTATCGGTATATATCCTGTTCTTGGGGAAACGCATCATTTGCTAGATGAACTTGCGCGGAGACATCTCCTTGAGACTGAGATCTGACATGTCCTTTGATGAATTTCGATATCTTCTGCATGGCGAACGAGATGGTCAACGAGGAGTCCTGAACACAACCTGCCCGGCGTACCGTCGCAGTACATATAGCACGTAGCCATGATGACGTTGAGTGTAAGCCAAGGTGGGACCGGTTGGGGTTAGGGTCACTGCGAATTCGGACTTGGGCGCTTTGCATTCTACCGCATTGCCGCTGCATTGCCGCGATGATCACAGCTCTGTCCTGGCGGTCACTACGACTGCCTTCGTCGAACAACGTCGGCTCCTTGGGACCGAATACAGGTAGCGTGAGCACCATATCATACCCGCCAAGTTTCACCCTAGATGCTCGGCAGGTTGTGCAACGTTGACTGAACCGGTAGCGTTTCCCTCAGCGAGAAATCGTTCGTACTGGATCTGCGCTGGTAACTGATCCTGGGCGTGTCATCTCTCCTACTCACAATGTCTGGACGAGTTCGCGCTCATGGAGAAGGCCTCCTTCAGATCAATCGCCGGGAATACGAGGTGGATGCCGCTCATGAATAGTCGATAGGCGCACTGAACGAACGATACGCAGAGACTATCAAAAGCTGCTCGACCGCCATACGCGACGATCACCGACTTGCGACGATTTGTAACATTCGTTGACCTTCATCCGGAGTTCCGATCCGATGCTACTCCAATTTTCTGTCTTCACCTAGACTCTAAATCGGTGCCTTCTGTCGGCCCTGATGGGCGTACCGACAATACGTCGCGTCTGCAACCTGCATTTGCTCTAACAGCGCTCATGGGACTCTCTGGAATTGCTGTCGTCGATGAAGCTGAAGCCAGGATCCTACTTCCTCACATCGCAGACATCTCTGCCTGGATCGTCTTCATCATCAGGCAATGCATACTCCCCAAGGAAGCACACAGACGCCCGTCCGTCAAGCGCTCCCTCCGCCCCATTTCCGACGTCTTCAGGCCACTTTGCGCCATCGGTGCGGAGATGGACCTCCTAGGTTTAAACCTCGTTCGGCCTGTCGCGGATCTGTGGATCTTGGCTGCGCAAAGATCCAAAATCAATGCCGTGTGCCGCCAGGGCTGGGAATACAGTGCTATCAATGCCTTCTGGGCATCTGCCATAGCTAGCCACGATCCACCTCTTAGATCGTTCCTATCCGCTCTCGTCGACTCTGATGTCCCGTCCTTTGTTTCGTCCGCGCTCTGCCATCTTTCGCGGACGATCAACAACATGGACGGAAAACTCACTTCGCACTACGACTTGACGAATGACATGGATGTTGTTTACTTTTTGTCCCTATACGGAGAGCCCACGCTGTCTGATATAGTCCAGTCTCTCTTGGAGAAGGGTGCAATGACGCTCATGTCTAAAGGAGCTGGCTTGTTGGCCAAGGCGGTTCACTCTCCGATCCATGCACACCATGTTCTGGCGGGCATCACAAAATCCGCCGGTTTCTTCACTATAATGTCGTGCGTGGCGCCGGGTCGCCCATGGGTGATCCAAGCCGTCAAGAACGGCATCATCCAAGCCTTGGTACAGGCGGCATATCTAATCCAGTTCGTGAAAATAGAGACGGCCGTTGAGGATTATGTCCGCGGCGTCCAAGAGGCGCTGCATCGTCTGTGCGCGTACTTGGTGTACAGGTCGGTGCTGCGGGTGGTATTGAAAGCGGTGGAGACGATAGACGAGAGCCGCTTATTTAGGTCGGATCCCAGGATGAATGCCGTCTGGGACTTGTGGGAGACGTTTATGGTGCTGGTGATGGAACGCGACATCCTTTACACCGCAGCGAAACCGCGCGTCGTCGTCGTCTGCAAATCGGTTCGTTCTCTCCACTATGGCAAGCGAGAGGTCCACGCTGAATACGCCGTGCCAGTGCGGACTGAAGGACTCTGGAGACACGTTCATGCGATGCTCTGGATGCGTCCATACCTGGTACTGCTCGTCGGCATGCCAGGAGAATGATTGGAAAGCCGATCACCGGGAGTTTTGTACCGACTTCAAGCTGAGATCTCGACGTGAGCCCGAAGCCCGGTTCTCCTACTTGCTTTCGCTCATCGCACGCCCGACTTTTTTTCCAGTGGGCGACTTGCACACGCTGAGCTTTCGAGACTACGAGATGGTCAAGGCCGTGACGCGGTACGACCTGTCCCGACGAAACGACGAGATCAAGGCGCAGCTGCGCCTGCCCGACCGCTTCTTCCCGCCCGTGATCGAGCTCAGCTACATGATGCACCCGGTCCAGCTCAAGGTGATGACCGTCGCGGAGCACGCCGCGTACCGCGCGATCGACCCGGACAACCCGTCGTACGACGCCGCGCTGGAGAAGGTAAGGAAGGGCAAGGGCCTGTTTGCGCTCGCGCGCACGCTGCTGCCGCTCGGAAACCGGTGGTTCGACGCGAACTTTTGGGCGCAGATTGTGGTGAGGGAGGCGGAGACGCCGGAGGAAGAGGAGATTTTGCGCGAGGTGTTGTCGTGGTGATCTCAGTCTGTTTGCCGTCGATCGGTTGGGTTGTCGTCCGCGGCGATGCATTTGTTGTTGTACGTTACATGCACTTAGATAGGCGTCCCTGTCGTGTCCGAGGATCAATTATCTGGTGATGAGACTTCTCTTCCTCGATCAAAGGCGTAACGATCGTTGGCATTGCATCTCGTCTCGTCTATTACTCTATGAAGAGTGGGGTATATTCTACTTTCTACAGAGCCGACCGCGCTCGCCCTCGGCCGCAGGCCAAAGGGTTCGTCAGGCTTAGCCGACTCGCGGGGCAAGTATGGCGAAGTCGGGAAAAGGGTGAAGAGGAAATGTACACGGAAGCTGTTGCTACATATGAAAACAATGGGTGGTCGTGGGGTGTCTCTTTGCATGAACCGAGTCATAAGATAACGGATCCGTGAAGGGTCAAAAGGTCCGAGGCGATGTACAAATAACGATTAAGGGAGGGGAGGCTCTATATGCCGCCGTGTTTTGGATGGACGTGGTGGAGGAGACGTGGAGATGACCTCATGAACGGGTAGAGGGCACATGGTGTCTATGAGATGGGTTGGATGCATGCAAACCAGGTAAGAGGGCCATGCACGTTCGAGTGAAGGAGAGGGAGCTCATGACGCGGGTGGAGTGCATGTCGTCTTGACCGAAAGCTCAGGATGCGAGAGCCGTCCGAGCGTTGACGAGAGCACGTCAGGCGTCATGATGACGAGTTGGCGTCCTGAGATACCCGCGGGAAAGCGCCGGGATGACCGCGGGCAAATCCGTGCGGCATCGCATGGCTGCCCGGATCAGGGCAGAGGGCAACGATCCACGAGAGGCGGGACAAATCTTGACGAAACTGATCCAGCACGTCCATCGTGAAGACGAGGAGAGGAGTAAAACCGCGTGGCCCGACACGGGTTTTTTGCCGACGCACGATCGCAATGACGACAGCCTCGCGCTTGTCGTCGGCTGTTCGTCGGTATGCTAGCGCCGGAGTAGGCAAGCGTTGCGTCGCAAGATGCCGGAGAGATCTCGAGGAAGCTTCGGTAGCAGTCTGGCGTGCGGCTTGCAGCAGGCCAACCCGCGCCCATACGGAAGCCTCTCGGGCTTGCGCAATACGGATATCGCTGAGGATATCGCTGAGGGTGGTGCCAAGTGCGGGTACCGATGCGATGTTTCTCGAGCTCGTTCCCCGATCCCTCCCGATCCACGCAGGATCAAGGTCTTTTCTTCCCCGTGTGGGCTAGTAGCCTGGACGATACGGATTCCGCTGAGGATATAGGTGTTGTTGCGGTGGTGCCGGATACGGTTGCGGCTGGCGATGCAGCGTCGTCCCCGTCGCCCTTCCTCGATCGTTGGCGATCCACGCGCCCGCCGAAGCTCCTCTCCTCCCCGTGTTCGGGTTCGAAATCACGTTCGAAGCCGCTGGTGTCGGCACCTTCCGCGTCGCCTTCCGCCCACGTTCCTGATCCTTCCTACCCTCTCCCGCGCCGCCTGCCGCGGCAGCCTGCACATCCTAGTAGCTCCTCCTCCGCGCGGGCCTCCAGAAACCACCGCTGGAGGTGCCGTTGGTCTCGACGCGGGTCTGCTCGCGCCCGCGACGGTCCCAGCCGCCGATATGGTTCGTGAGCAGCCGTTTCAGCAGCGGCTGCGACTTTTTGCTCTTGGCGGGCGATATGGGCGCGGGCGATTGAGACGAGCGCGAGGACGAGCGGGTGCGAGACGAGTGGGTCTGTCCAAAAAAAAAACCCATTCGACGAACGTGTTAGCTACGCGAGGGCGAAAGAGAAGCGAGCGGGAGAGGGACGCACGGCGAGCTCGGCGCGGTGGCCGCGGGGCGGGATGACGACGTACTGCTGGCCCGGCGCGGGCGCGGGGAGGCGGACCTCGCGCCCCGAGCGCGGATCGTAGGTCTGGTACTGCACCGCGGGCACGCTCGCCCCGCGCGCGTGGCCGTGTTGGTGGGCGTACGCGGCCGTCGGCGGGTACGGGTACGTCGTCGTCGCGGAGGTCTGGGCGCGCCGGGAGGTGGACGAGGTGTGCTTGGGCGGCTGGCCGGCGTAGACGACCGGGACCGGGGCGGGCGCATGGTGGTGCGGCTTGGGATACGGGCCGTACATGGTCTGTTGCTGGGGGACGGTGGTGTAGGCGGCGGCGTAGGTCGGCCCTGGCGGCGGTTTGACCGGCGTCGGGGCGTAGATATGCTGCTGCTGTTGCGGATATTGATGCGGCGTGGTCATGGACCGCGTCGGGCCGGGCCTCGAAGTGGACGGGCCGCGGGAGGGGCTGACGGTCTTGCTCCGGGTGCTCGTCCGGTAGGGGACCTGAGCGGGCGCGTTGGATATCCGGCGCTCGCGCGTCGTGGGGCGGTACTCCCTCGGTGCGGGCGTTGGAGGACCCGAAGAGGAGGAGGAAGAGGAGGAGGAGCGGACGAAGGGGTTGGCATACTGGCGGGCGTGGGCGTTGGTGTTGTTGACCCAGTTGGCGATGCGGGCCTGGGTGGCCATGTACTTTTCGTACGCCTCCGGGGAGTAGTCGTACTCGGTCATGGTGGGCGAGAGGAGGAGGGATGGAGAGAGGCAGGGCCGGCGAGGGAAGGCGTGCTGGGTAGCTTATGTACCTCCCTGCGAAAGGTGAGGGAGGATAAAGAGATGGTGAGGAGTGGTGCCGGTGCACAGCGTAACGGCTACTGACCGGGTTTGGGAGATGGAGATGAGACCTGGCGGTGGCGGCGGGGCGTGGCTGTCCGGGTGGCCCGCGGGTGCTGGGACGCGGGTCTTATATATCTGTATCTCGCTGGCCGAAGAAGGGATGGGATCGACCCTTGAAGTTGTGCTGCGCGGGACGGCACGAAGCTTAATCTCGCAGGAGAAGCGGCGGAGGTGGGCTTAGCGAGCGTGCGGAAGGGTGAGTAGGTAAGCGGCGGACGGCTGGGATGCAGAGAGGGATGATCCGGGTGAGCGACGAGGTTGATAACGATCGAGGGATGGGGCGCGCGGCCGACTCACGGTGGATTGGGGGGACGTGCGTGCGCTGCGTGATTCGCTGGAGCGGTTGGCTGGCTCGCTTGGCTGGCTGGAAGTGCTCGCGGGCCTTCCTGCGAGTTAAATACGAACCGTTGCGGCAACTTGAACGGGAGGACGAGCCCAGACCGCGACTATTGTGTGCTGGTCCTGCTGGCCACCTTCGCATGTGAGCAGATCTGATCAGGGGGGACGCGGGACACGCGTGGACGACGCACCGGAGAGGCGTGTTTTCTGTCGGGCGATGACGAACCGCTGGTGCGTCTGAGACTGGCTCGTCTGTGTTTTTCTGGTTTATAGCAGCTGGTACAGCCCGTGTACCACCGCTCGTGTCGCTCGTAGAGGAGAAACACTCCACCCGGGCGGAAACAGAACAAGGGCCACCGACAAGGTTTGGGTTTGGGGGTTGGCTCTCGGAGGCAAACTGGCGGTGGCGGTGCTCCTCCTATTCTCTCTTTCCCTTTTCGGGACGCACCGGCCGAAGTACCTGCTCGACTGTCCTGGACGGGGAGGCGACGACGACGAAGGGGCGACGGCTGTTCGACGCGGGGAAACACGATGCTACCAGACTCTCAGCTGCCCGCTATATATTTCTGCGTGCTCGCTGTGCCAACCGCGCCGCCATCTGTTACGGTGATATTCCTGGCGTAACTGGACAGTGCCTCCTTTCCTGCTCTTGTTCCCCCATTCGGCCGGCGGCTCCTGCTCCCGAACGACCTTGCCTGCCGCCCCACGGCCTTCAGCGTCCCAGAGCTAGGCCGCAGTCCCCCCGTGAGGGTCAGCTGTGCAGCATCCGACCGCGTTCGTTGGAATGGACGTCATGACGCCGTCTACGAAAAGCTCTCGAAACACGCGCCCAACAAAGCAACGCCACATCTCCAGCCGTGGAGCGACCTGCGCGTTTTCTCCGTTCATCCTTGCGCACCCGTGAGTCAATCCGCATCTTGTCACCATCCTTACGAACGCCGTCTGACCCCTTCGAAGACGGCCGTGAGCAAACGCACAAGAATAACCTACCCTCCCTGCAGAGCTGAAACGCTCGTTCGCAATCGATACCAGAATAGACGAGAGCGGAGCGCCATACATACTACGGCTAATCAGCCTCGTCTTCTGCAACGCCGGGCTTACAGCCCGGTCTGACCGTATCGCTCGAATCCTCGTTCGGACCCGATCCGCGTTATGGTCGCGGGAGCATCGTCGGCGCCTTCCAACTCAAACTTCTACGCATCATAGGAGGTGGTCCCATGATATCCCAACCCGTCAGCGGACTTTACGATTAGGAACCCGTCCTTTCCGTTCAGTACGTCACGCCATCGACACCTCTGCATTTCACCTGACCTAACCTTCCCTTCGTTCCTCCAGATACGCACGTTGTGTAACCTGACGTGTCGGCTGCGAGCGCCACGAAGCCACGAAGGTCCAGCGACCTTGCTGATGATGTCTCCCCGATCGTCATCCACTCGGATATGAATTCGTCCGCAGCCACCTCGGCTTGCTGATCGAGCGCCGTACGACCTCTCGACCGGACCCTCTTGTCCTCTCAGTCAGATCCACAGCGGCGGTATGTCTCATCTTTCCGCGGCCCGCAGCCCTATCCGACTCTGGTTGCTGACGGTCCTGTTGCAATAGACCCCCGGATCTCCCCTTCCTCCCTTCAAAGCCTGCGCAAGGAGGATCGTCCAAGCAATCCGTCGCTCTCACGCGACAAGGCGCATCACACGACCCCGATGTCATCGTCATCCCAGCGCCAGAACATCGTTCGATCGCCCTCGCCTGGACCCGAGAACTCCCACTGGCCCCCATCATCTGTACGTCCTTTGCTTTCTCCCCAACACATCTACGTTCGCTCAATTCATTGGCCAGCGTTCTGCCCCAGCACCGGCAACCCAACGCGCGACTCGTACACGCGACCAGCACGTTCACCCTCTCCCCCATGACCCCTCCCGAGCGCCACGAAGTCTCCAGCGATACCAAGTCTGGACGGATTGTTCAATGAGGATCGCACACCGGCTGGCTGGACCTACAGCGGGCGCGGGACGTGGCGTTCTTCTCGTTTTCTCGACAGAGCAGTCTCCTCTGACGTCCGCTCAGATCACGTCCCCACACCGGTATCACAAGACCTCATCTCGCCCTTGCCCATCCAGAGGCCTCAGCGCCGCCTTTTCCCGGTTCCCCCCGTCTGGCGGGTATCGCGAGTCGATGCATTCCGTACATGAATCGCATATTGCATCATCGCCTGCTTGCCGCCCGTCGGTCCGATGACCCAGGAACGCCGTGTCAGAAGGACAGGATGAGAGGAGAACGACCGCTTTGCCCTCGGTATTCCCACGCGACACGTGAACCAGCGGCTCCGCAACCCGCTACTGAACAGAGCCAACCTCCAACGTTCATATATTGAAACCCTTGCGCGACAGCCGCCTCTCCCTCTCCGCTCTTAACACCTCGGAGCGCCGCCCACTCACATACCCTTTGCCCCTCTCTGCCCAGTCCAGAACGCAACCTCTGGCCGGTTTCTGATCGAGCTCAGCAACCGCGCGTTCAGCACGTTTCTACGTACCTCTTCTTCCCACACTCCTCTCGTACTCGTACCCCACGAGAAGCTACCCGCGGAGTGCGGAGAGCGGGGGACTGTTGCGGGGGTTGAGCGGAGCTCCCTTCGCGAAGGTTGCGGGTCAACGGGCCGTCCCGTGCTCGTCGGACGAAAGACGTTTCCAGACCAAGATATGAAACCTGGGTGAAGCCGTCTTACATGAAGCTGCGGTCTCGTATGTATTCCGCATCACAAGACCTCCACCGTCATCCAGCGCCCAGATACGTGCGTCGGCTCTGTCGCCCTAACCTGAACCCGGAGCCGGAGCACTCTCCCAGGCCCATCGCTGGTCCCGTGGCCTATCGACGCCCAACGGGTCCCAGAGCCGACCTCGCGAAACGATATCCTTCCCTCCGTTCAAGCCGCCCGGTCTTCGTCGATCAAGACACGTCCTTTTGACGCGTCCTTGGACCTCAACGTGCATGCCCGACCATCGAATACAGATTACAATAGGTCCCTTGCACGGCCAGGTTGAAATCAGAGGCTGCACCCACCCGGCGAGAGTCACGCCTCGTGAAGTCTCAAGTCAGACGCACCTCATACCTCGCGGCCCGCAAGTCTCACCGCGAGCGGTCCGATGAAACTCGATCTTGGACTGGCAGCTCTCGCCCTGTATTACCACCTCGTCGTTAGGAATAGTCTGCACTCCTCTGAAGACGCTGGTCGGTGGCCCAGCGAACATCGCCACTCGCACATCATCGTCGTTCGAGGATCTGCTATTCACCAGCAATGTCGAACTCTTGGCCCATGGAACCGCGCCAACTCGACCGAAAACCAGAGGAGACCCTTCTATGAATCGCCCCTGGGACTCTCCGTTGATGTTTCCCCGTGAACACCTCGGACTGTCCGCCCGCCAGCTGCAACCATTTACGGCCCGATGGATCATCCTTGCCTGCACGCCACTTTCCAATCGGCTTTTCCTGCCGCAACTTACGGCCTGCACGCGTTGCATCCCGTCTCGCCGCTCTCTCCCGGGCATTACCCAACGAGAAGTCATCAAGTGCGGGAACTGCGTACGCACCGGGACGTCCTTCACAAGTTTCGCGGATGACGCTCGTTCCGTGTCCGTCGACCCTTCGGATACGTGGTCCTGGATGGTCGAGGACGCAGGGTTTGGCCCTCGACGCCTTGTCGCATCAACAGGAGGCTGTTGTGACTTGCTCTCTAACTCCGGACGAGGCGCAGTTTAAATCCTACGGCCTGCTTATTCCGGCTATGGGATTGGAAAGGCTGTCGTTCATATGAACGGTAGCTCAACTTTTAGAGCGGGACCGGCAATGGCTCCTTGCTTATGTTATTCCACCGCGACGCATGGGGCCACTGATGGAATGCATCGGCGAGGATTGTGTCCTTTCACGCATTATTGCTCCTGCGGTCTAGCGCGCCTTTCGTGGGTTTCTGGGGGCCTTCCCGCGCGCAATAGCTTCAACGTGCCATTTTTGGCAGCAGGCCGTATCCAACTCTATTCTCAACGATAAGAACGCGTACCCAGCAATAAGGACGCATACTCTGAGGAACACACATTCGCAAGCTCATGTGTATCAAAGTAGGCTGTTCACGTGGACAGTATAGACGAGGCGCTGACGATGATGGCACACTCCCCACCAGGGTACGACATATATGTCCTTGCATTGCCCGTTACCTCGCTGCGATGTAGTCGTACGAGCGTCGTCAGCAATCCCAACCTTTTTGCCCGTGCTCTGATAACATTGAGGATGGCGCGATTGTATGCATCGAGCAACGTGCAATGCATCTCCGCGGTTACTCCGGCTTTTTGGTACCTCATATCCCTGCCTCGTTCTCCCAACCTCACAAACGTCCTCCAATCCATGTGGTGTATGTGCGAGAATTCTGTTCAAGCCACCGCCATAGCAAACAGCCTCCTCCTCATTTGCATTCCGGGGTACGATACGAAGTTACGCACTACGACGTGTACGCTTGTCCTCCACGAACGTGCAGCGAAGTGACTACTGGGATGAAAACACCCTTCGGCGAACATTTGTCCTTAGCCTCTCCTGGCCGTGGTAACAGATTGCGGATCGTGCAGTTGGCGTCGTCGACAATAGGTCAGGACGACTTGCCTTGCGGAGACCCTCGCAGACTGCCGTGTTGACCGTGAATCGTTGTCGCACATCTATCATTGCAAATTCAACCTGTCGAGTGAGAACGCGATTGAACACCGATTCGATGAGGCTGCAAAGTGAGAGAGCGCCTACTATACATCGTGCGTGTATCGGTACATGGATGTAGCCCCAAAGCTGAGCCGTACATAACCCCTCAAGCAAAAAAACAAATCGGACAAGATCGGTGGTGGTGTGGTGGACTCATGGTACCACCACTATGTGCTCAATGCCATAGAAACGCCTCATAGCGCGACGCATGTCCTCCGACTCCAGTTCCACGACGGCTTCATGCGATCCCCTGACTCGCCCTGGAATCCGTCGAGCGCGGTATGAGCTGGCCGATATCTCCCGACCAGATCTCGTCCAAAGGAGTTCGATACGTTCGATCGGCCTTATCAAGTCGGCAACGAAGGTGCAGAACGCAGAATGCTCCTGTACCGCTCCTATGGATATGACAGGATGGTGACAGTCGAATTCGAGGCAGAAGTACTTGATTGGTAATCCAGATATGCATGGCTAGCAGACGCTGTAAGTAAATGGATCTTGAGCGAGAGAATATAGACGTACCAGAACCGTCCGCAAGATGGCCATATCCGTGTCCACCAAAAGCGTCAGATGCAGGACCTCCAGCCTTGGCGCACAAATTGCGACGCGCAGCCAAAACTCGGACTCCTCCGATAGGATGGGCATCGACAAATTCATGGGCCCAGATGCCGCCAGACCGGAGAAGAAACTCTCACGAAGGCGATCCTGCTGAGCGTGATACAACGCGGTCGATCCAAAACTGGTCACCTCCAAGCGCCTGACATTCGAGTATAACGGGTAATGATACATGCTGAGGAGATCCACGGTGGCGGCGTCAAGATGTGGCCATGCAAGACGCACGTCGCATGTGTTCTGTGCATGTAGGTCTTCAACGACTGCCATGTCCTCCAGGTGCAACTGGCGTAAATTCGGGAATGCGACGTAGAGCAAGGCGCGCTTCACTCGAGGAGCGAACAGAGCAAGGTGGGTCAACTGGGTCCAGCGAGCTTGGAGAGGAATACTCGTTGCCGCGAAGTCCGAAAGTTTCAGGCGCCTCAGGGTCGATCGCCACGGAAGGATCATCTCGAAGTTTGGGGCAGGGGCCATCCGTCTCCCAATGATGAGAGAGGAAAGAGGCGACGTCAAAGACCGTAGCATCGCGTCCGCTAGTTTACCTGCGCCTTCTCCCAGAACCAGGCGGACCATGCTTGTGCGAGATGCAATGGCCGCCCGTATTCGGGGATCATTGAACATCATCCGCTCGGAGTCCCACAAAAGGACTTCCTCCAGCCCCGTTGCTTGCGTCAGGAGGTCCGCGAGCAGGCCGACATCCATTGGAAACTTGAGCGCGCTGCCCGAGAGATCGAGAGTCCGCAGAAAACGAGGGATGTGCTTGGCTGCGCGCGAAAGGGCAAAGTGACAGAAGCTGGAGAGCTGAAGAGGCGTACGAAGAATCACAGATGACGCGAGGATGGGCAAACCCAGGTCATACGCGGTATGGTTGGTGACCATAAACTGACGCAGGGTTGGTTTGTCGAATTCCGCTATGATTTGCACCAGGACGTCATAATTCAAGTCAAGTAGGCCCATCCTCCGTGATCTCCTCCGGGTATTTCCTGTAATAACGTGTAAGCTCTCAGGATCTGCTGATACGCATGGCCGCGAGAGACTGACTAAGGATCATCCGCTGCATTTTATAGGATAATGATGCGCTTGAGGAGGCCCATTTACTAGAGACAGTCGCCTAATTGTCCTCTTGCTCAAAGGAGAGTTCGAGCCTCGCTAAGAATCGGAAATTGGTCGTGCAACTGCTCTGAAATATATGCCTCGCTAGCCCCGACCGTTTTCCTCCTAAGCAAGATACTGTTAACCATGAAGGCTCGAATGATTATGGATGTTGAGGAATGATACCTTTCCGGCTGTGCTAAGGCAACCCCAAATACGGGATGCGGCCTGCGAACGTCGTGCGATGATCCCTCCAGTATTTTTCTCCCTTCCTTCAAGGAATTCGCCTGAATTCATCGTAGGGTTGTCAGCAAAGGGTCCGCGAGCATCAGCCACGCGTTGGCGAGAGACAATGCGCACGGTATCAATATATCGAGCTATGACTGGCTCGGCAGGCTATGAATGTCCTTTGATCGACGCGCTAGCCAAGAAGGGTTGTCCTGTGCTGACGTTCGATCCTTGCTTGATCAATGGCGGCGCCAATTCCGTCGAAAGCGACCCACTTCTTGGTGGGGTCGTGCTTATATGGCATCGATATAAGAGGTGATGACCACCATGATAAGAGACCCGCTGGGAGTTTTGTCGAACGGCGCTTTCTCGGTGACGGGGGAAGATCATGCCGTCGCTCGCACAGAGGTGGCTGAACGAGGTTGATCGGTATTGAGAAGAGATTCCTCCGAGACTCGATATGGGCGAAGCTTAATGACAAAACGGGTCAACAGTAAATGTCCATCCGAAACAGCCGCATTCGTGGTGCAGAAGCATAGATAATGGGGCCAGCAGGCGTTCCCCTGAATCATAGGATGGGCATTTGGTTGTTGCATAACTAATGCGTGTGTAAGGCCGAAGTAAGTCGTCCACCGTCCGAATTCGGATCGACTTTGGTGTGAGTAATACCATGTGACCTGTGACCACGACGCGTGCGCGTCGCGTCTTAGTCGACACCGCGAACCTACTGCTGCCTCCTCCGTGGTCAGTAGTCTGTGCTGGGTCAGCTATTCTCAGATTCTGGAGTATGTCTCCCACTCGATATGCACATTCTGCCCTTCGCTTGGTAATACACCATGACCTAGGTGCGGCAATTATGATCTACATCTTCTGAGTACGCACAGTTTCACTACCGGTCGCATCATGCGCCCGTACGGCTGCCTTGGCCCGATAACGTGTCGTATCTCTTACTACCGTCGCCCAGAACCTAGCACAAAGTCGCCGTTGCATTCTCAACACGTCACGCTACACACATCATCTTACGCTGCTCCCTGACTTCTCCGACCTTTCCCCGAGAACATGGTTGGCCGCCTCTCTAAGATGTGGTATGAGTTGCTTAGCGTGCTCAAGAATGTAATCACCGTTGGTTACAACCCCAATTCCTCTTCGGAGGATTATTCGAGGATTATCCGCGTTACTGACAGTATAATGCCTATCTCGCTTTATAGCTCTGCCTAGCATTGATCTCTTCATATACGTTCATTTTGTTTTTAGTATCGCCCGATGTGAGATAACTGTGTCCTGGTGCCTACTTGATCGGATGCTAATACAACGTTTGATGCGGCTTACGGGGTGAACTATAATAAATTAGTGTGGGCGAAAGCAACCGTATCAATTTTTTGTAGGTTGCCTAATTCAAAAATATCTGTGATGTCGGAATATGCAGGTGGCTGTATCCCTCCAGTGCGACCGAGCACGACGCACACCGACACACCTCCACCTGGACTCTGTAATGCTCGCGGCTCTTCGCCCAGCTGCGTCAAAAGCAGCTCTGGCGGCTGCATGTCGTCGAGCCGTCTCTACCCTCCCAACCTCTCCCGATGCTCCCGTTAATCTCGGAGCCTACATCGAATCCCTGCCGCCCAAGAGCGAAGAACGACCTGCCTTCACTCGCGCAACACGGGAGAAACACGAATGGCTCAACATACCTCCCGCAGAGGACCCTTTACTGCACTTCCTTACGAACCTGATTATGAAGCACGGAGAACGCGCGAAAGCGGCTCGCGCCACGAGCAGCATATTGCTATGGATCCATACCTTCACCCGCGCTCCGCCGCTGCCCATTCTGCGGCAGGCCGTGCTCAACGCCTCGCCCGCAGTGCGCGTCAAGTCAATCAAAGTGGGAGGAAAGACGGTGCACACGCCCGTAGCGTTGAGCGAGAGGCAGAGGACACACTATGGATTGAAGTGGATGCTGAAGGGTAGCGACCATAGACCGGGGATGTACGTGGGCGAGAGGTTTGCAAGGGAAGTCATTGCGGTGCTTCAAGGCGACAGCACGGCTCTAGCGAAGAAGCTTGAAATACACAAGACTGCAATGACCAACAGGTACGTCGGCTGGTCTTACTGCTCGTCGTACTGGCGCTGATGATCATTCAGAGGAAAGAAAACTTGAGCTTCTTCTCCCGCCACCGTATCAACCCTGCTGTCAAGTACATTATGTTAATGCTTTTAATCGACGGCGTTCCATCGATCAACTTGTCCCGTCTTCGGCTCAGAAACTATCTATGAAATTGTGGGATGATCAATGATACGTCCACTAGGTCAAGTCGGGTTGAGGGCGTGAACTCGCATGTTCTTCAACGTTTTCAACCACTGGCATACATTTGCCACCATGGCTGTCGCCCGCCACTCCAGTGGTGTCAGGCACTAAGTCGGCCTATTGCTTAGACACTCTGGAATCGCCTTGGAGGATGCAGGTAGGGCCCGCGTTGACCTACAAATTGATGTGTACCAAGTATTTCACTGATCACACGAGTGTCCTTACCGTATTACATTCCAGGTCAATTTCTGACGTTTTCATATTCATAAACATGACGTTCATAATAGGGATAAAGTACCACATCAGGGAAGGAGAGAAGGTGAGCGGAAGGGAGAAAGAAGGGATGCAACAACAGAATGCCATCTAGTCCAAAGCAAGGCTGATATCTGTAAGTTCGCCCATGTATTCGCCATCTCCGCCAACTGCCCTTTAGCTCCGATCGAGTACACAACGATTCATTACAGCGAAGACATCTTATCCCTGATCTTATCGACGAAAGACCGTTTCTTCTTCAGGGCTCTCTTGTCGGCAGGAGACAGGGGGGAAAGATTTGCCGAAGATGCATGGGAAGGGGCTGGGGACTGTACCGGAGACGGAGCCAGCGAGTGCGGGGAAGGATGGCGAAGATGTGTAGGCGGCGTGTTCGGATGGTTCAAATACTGTGGGACAAAGGAAGTGAGCAAAACGAAGCCAGCGAGAGGAAATTTGAGAACTCACGAAGACTGTCGTCCCATCGGGAACTGTCAGAACTCCCGGCGTGTTGAGCACGACCACCGAATTGGCGGGAGCAACGACGCTCCTGACCTCGTTTATGGGGGTGCCATGAACCACGGGCGGGGCAACGCGACTCGGGGATACATTTGCTGAGCGGCACGGTGGCGGGGAACCCGGTAGCGAGGTACCGACGAACGGCGCTGGGTCAGCGTGATGCTGAGGGGACGCCGCAAGTAATCGAGGCGTTGATTTAGAGTTCCGTAATGTCTTCCGTGGTGTAGCCAGCGCCATGTCGATTTGCGGAACAGGGAATGGTGGTGGATTGCTGTCCGTTTGTTTGTCATATCGAGGTTTCCTCTTCGGAGGTGACGAAGCCGGCGACGCGATACTGGAAACAGGTGACTGCGCGTACTCTGGGTAGAAACCACCGATTAAGGGAGGAGTCTGAACGCGGGCCGTGGCGGAATCCTCAAGTCCGAAACTTCCATGGGCTACACGAGGCGACCTGTGTGATAGACCGGAGGTTAGGCCGTGGACATCAACCAGGTCGTCCGCCGCTCGATGAGACGCCTGCGATGTAGAGAAGCAGGACGGAACAGCCGTGGGAGGAGGGACGATGTGTTCTGGCGGATATCTGGCCTTGGACGCCGAGATGTCAGGCCGAATGCCTTCGGCCCACCGCTTGATGTCGGCGTTCTTTTCCTTCTGCCTCTTGTAAGCTTCGGGAGAATAGTCGTACTCGGTCATAGTGGACTGGAAAGGACGATGGCGCGAATGGAAGACAATACAGACTGCACGGAAATCTGAGCTCAGGAAACTTGTCAGCACTAAGGCGACATAACAAGGGGGGGTTAGCTGCTAACCTTGCTGAGCGTTTGCCGTCGTGACAAGGGGCGCGCTGGTCCGAAGGGGAGATGGCCGTTTATATTCCCAAGCCAATCGCAAGGCCACCGGAAGGCTCGCTTCTTGGCCCGTACATTATGGGGTGGCCACGCAATATTTTGTAGATTGGTTCACGGGTGGCAAGGGTTTGCCGAGGCATTGCAAGCCATCGCGAGTGGAACGAGGCATTCGATGCGGCTCGCCCTGGCGTCGACGCGGTTGAAGAGTTGCAGCGTTAGTGTACGATCGCCGACAATGCACGAGAGGTGGTGATGGTGGTCGAAGACAATGGAGGTGCGCAGCAGACGATGACCAATTCACCGGTGGACGTTCTGGCCCGCCGTGATGCCGGCAACGTAAGGGGTATGGACTTCGGCGGGAGAACCATGGCGGTGCAACTTCAAGCTTGAACGTTCGAACCACGATATGCCTGCATACTGTCTACGGCGTCAGATCGCGCTCAGGACTTCGCCACTGATACCGCAGCATCAGCAACTAATGCTATTCCCAAGTACTCGCTGGACTCGAGCTTGAGGCATCGCCTCAGATGCCAGTAATGCGGCTACAGCTGAAAGTGGCTAACATTCGCCCGTGAAACCTGCGCAATAGACTTGAATTGGTGAGGTAGTCTTGTCTTCGTTCATCATATCTGCTTCTCTGCCTGATGATCGCTGGTCCTGCTACGAGAGCCCCGTAAACGGCTTCGTACTTACCTCTGCTAGCACGTCTTCCGCGTTCATTCGTCACACCGCGCACAGTCGTTGTCGATGGATCAATATATAACCCTGAAACGCTGGTGCCCTTTGCTGTCCAACCAGTGGCCAGTGCCTTGCCGCTCTCACTTGATATTCACAGTGCACGTCGATTTCCACCATGAACGGAGTGCTTTCGACGCACGCGCTCAGGAGTACCAACCAAGACATGTGTGTACTGTCGATCTGATACTCACTTGTTTGGGCTGATCGGGAGTTAGTCAGGCGCAGGGCATGTTTCAGAGTAGCCTTCTCAGCATATTGCTATATGATCATGGTATGTAGTTGTGCTATAAACACGCTACAGGTTGATTCAAGAATCGCAGCACTCACCCTAGGAGACGAGGTGTGGTACGATGTTTCGTGTCTGATTAAACCATGACACCGGTGCAGGTCGATAAGATATGGAACCTGCCGTTCGCCAGCGTATCGGTGCTATTTGTTCTGAACCGCTATTTGACTCCTCTGGTATTCATGGTCACTCTGGTTGCATACCAGTCGGAGTGGTCTGCAGAGGTAAGCAGATATAAGCGGAAGTGAATGATAATCGATTGATCTGGCGGGGACTAGATGTAAGCATACTGAATGGATGGTGTATTGTCTACTAAGCACGAATCGTCATTAGATGCCAACGGTTTGTGAAGTACGAAGGTGCTGGTTGTGCAGTAGTCATGGCAATATGTCAGAGTACGTGCTGTCTCTGGAGGATTATGCGTTGTTCACGATATTTGGAATGCTAGTCGTTATGATCCTTCGCGTCAACGCGCTTTACGCAGGCAATCGACTGGTTCTACTCCTTCTCGTTACACTTTTCATGGCACAGGTTGGAATACATGCCGCCGTTATTACCGAAGGCATACAAGCGTCTCGATATTGAGATTTCTGTACAAGTTCTAACACATACTGCAGCTCTACAAAAACCAATAGCCATCGGATGTGTTCTCGCCGCTCGATCCTCCATATACGAAGGCATATGGATCGTGCCGCTCGTGGCTGATAGTCTGATCATCATCCTGACACTCTGGAAGCTGAGGAAATACTCACAAGGAGGAGGTAGAATGCCGTATGTGCAGTACAAAAGTAACATGGCGTTAGAACTCATAAATACACCCAGGACTATGCATAGATTCCTACGAGTAGGTTGCATACAGCCAAGGGTTCTTGTCTACGGCTGACTGCGCCTTATCTCTTAGGACGGGATCGCCCATTTCGTCGTTATTTTCTCAGTCAATCTATTGAACGTCGTCGTCTACTTCGTGAGTCTGGGTTCACTACTGATTTCGTTCGTTCCGACTCAGACCGAGACTTCTCAGAGTGTCGAAGATGAGTCCACAAAAAACCTATTCGGCTCATTCTCGGAGGTGTTGACGTCGATGACAGTTTCCCGGTACTTATACACCTCATCTTTCGCACAACGATCCCTGTTACTAAATCCTCTTACATGCAAGCATCATCCTGAGTCTACGAGGGTACAGACCCCATGGGGCGGGAGCAACAACCTTTGCCGACGCTTTAGACGTCTCCGACCAATCACTCGCATTCGCCGATCCTTGGGACATGGCAATTCTCTACCAAGATCAAGAACCCGCCATGGACAGGGATAGATCGGCGGGTAGCGATTGCAACGAGCATGATTGGCATACGACTAACAATGCCTAGTGAATAACTAGCATGCCCTTATCTGGTCTGACGCGATAACAAGTAGGCTTTGGTACTGCATAGCCGTATTGATATGCAACAACCTCACAATACACCTGCGATTGAGTCCATAAGGATAGATATGAATAAGACAAATATTTATCACAAGACGGGTATCAGAAGTAGCCGATGGGTATCATCCTACCGCCTTAATATGGCTTCAAGTATTTTGGTTCCTCGGAAATGTGTCCAGGCGAGGGGAATGGAATACGTTCCGAAGGATCGTAAGGATCGACGAAGGACATTGGCGGAGGCGGGGGATCGAGGCTCGCATAATGTTCTCGGCCATTCCTAGTCATTTGTGCCGCCGCAGGAAGTTCAGCGGCCTTGTATTGTTTCTGTGCAGCCCTTTTCGCTATGAAGTTCCTGCAAGCTCCGTAGATTTTGACTACCACGTAGGTCAAAAATATCAAACCCAAGAGTGCACCGATGACTATGCCTGCAATTGCCGCCTGCGAGAGGTGCTTTTTGTGGGCCGGGTCGATCAGAGGAAGACTAGCAGCGATGGTGGTATTGAGACAGGCTAGGAAAGTCGTGTTGACAGAAGCAGGTAGAGGGGTGACAGATATGTTGGGTGGGGCAGTTGTATTCGAGGGCGGCATATTCGATGGTAAAGCGGCCGTGTTGTTGTATCCATCAAGAGAGAGCCCGAAGGACGAGGCGCGGTACCACTGCACGAACTGCTCTGGTTTCGGAAGCGACGAGTTTGATTCGTTGTCAAACCCGGTGAAAGGAGTGATAGACGAGGTGGAGTTGCTTGCGCCACATTGGGCGATTATGGCCTCCAAAACGGTAGTCACAGACGACTTGTCGCCGATGAGACGGTACGTCTGGGTTGTGGTGGTCACATTGGAGGTGACTGTGGCAGTCGTCGTGTTCCCCCCTGGCCGTTGATCTTCGTGTTCGTGATACTTCGAGATGCAGACATGTGAGCTTGCAACGAGTGTCAATATTGATGCGAATACGCACTTCATCGCATCCATAGTAATGCTGGTGCACCGGAACGGGCCAAAAGACATACGGAAACGGCCGCTCTTCTACCCAGTAGCCACCACCACCGTACGTGTAGCCGCTACCGTAGCGCGACGTGCCATAGATATCGTTCTGCGAGTAAGGTACTGAGATAGAGTTCTTATCGGAATCAAGGTTCGTACCCTGGTTCCACCGCCTGCACGGCGTCCCGCGAATGGATTTCCGCTCGGTAGCTTGAAGGGTTTGCCACCGCCACTCGATAAGGACGACGCTTTGCGCCCTCCGCTCGACGATCCTAGGGAAAGGCTGCCGATGCGCGAGCCACTGGACTTCGAGCCGCTGCTGGACGACTTTCCACTGGACGAAGAGGACTTGCCCCCAGACGAAGATGATTTACCACCAGATGACGAAGACTTCCCGCCATGTCCACCGCCATGCCCTCCACCGCCGTGACCGCCACCTCCTTTGCGAGGAAACAAACCTAGTGAGCGGAGGAGCGAGTGGACGTGGGAGGACCGGTCAAAGGGTTCGGGGCGCAGAATTGCAACCATGGGAGGGTCTCGCGAGTGAAGCGGCGGAGAAGTTGGACGGGAAAGATGGAGAGAAGTAGCATGTAGCGGGCGCTTTTATACAAAACTTGCACAATGCAAGTCCGGACAGAAGAGAACAGATGGTGGCGATGATGACATGTACAGCCTGTATAGGCGCTGATGCGACCGGCCACGCGGCGCGCACTGCCGGACATGCAGCCCTTGAGAACAGCCAGTTACAGCTAAACAGCAGTGATCTGACGTAGATCGCCTTCGCTGGATAGACCGGAGCACACGAGCATTCAATCACCGCATATTGCTGAGACCGAGAGACAATCGGATTATACTGTTACCAGGTTGCCGAGCGACATAACTTCTTTCACTCTATGTGGACTCACATGCAGTGGCCTTGTTCGATCGAGCGGCGATCGTACCTACTACACAACACTGTGCTGATAACAGAACAACGCCGGATACAATAAGTAGGAGAGACAGGTGGAAGTAGCACTATGGCAATATTGTTTTGCGGTGTGGCTCAAGGGATTCTGAGACGCTACCGTGGACAATCCGCTATGTCAGGAAAGAGCCGTCAGCGGGACAACGAATATGGCTTCGGTGGCAGCAACCGGTAGGCCGAGCAGAATCGTCCCACGGCGTACAAGAACGCTGTATCTTGTACGTATAGGGCTTCGGAGACTCGCCTGTAAATCCAACAGTTAGCCAATCCTGGTCATCGCAACGATGTGGGTTTCGCGTTCCATGAGAGCATGGCAAAACGAGAATCAACTAATATCACCAACAAATGTTCGCTGCGTACGCCCCACGAACTTGCCGTTGGCACAGGTGCTCTCTGGTTACACGGACGCGTTCCTCATGAGACGTGTATGCGCAATGTCGGGGGACCCACCCATCGAAGTTGTCGGGCTCGAGTTAGTTGTTGCCCCGAGCAGTGCGCAGTTTGCAGCAACCTGCCGCGTTAAATAGCGTCGCGTGCATTCCAGGCCGTGGCACACGGAGTTGAGGAGGCTGAGCGCGATGCGGTATTGGCACAGATTGACGTTGGCTGATACACCGTCCCAGGCGGATGAATGGTGCGTGGTCCCAACGCACCGAGGGTTCTATCAGACTGCAGAAGGCGAGCTGCGCTGCGGCAGTGAATGGAGAACGTCGGTGATCGGAAGCCCTCTGCCCACCTTGCCCAGCTCGGCCGGAAAACTTCGCACATACATGTTCATAATAGGCGGAAGCGCGATAAACGATCGTGTGTTCGACATGCTCAAGACACGCGGTTATCAAGGTTGGGCTGCGATAATCTTCGGCATTCAAGAAGGACGAGTTCATAGATGCGAGCCTGATAGACTCCAGAGCTCCAGTCACGCTGACGTGCCGTCACTGTCGATCGTAGGATCGTGCATGAGGTTCCTGGAGGCGATTCCGACGAAGAAGTCGTCGTTCAAGATGAAGGAGAGCTGGAAAATGCCGTACGTGTACTGATACCCGCTCGTTTCACGTGACGGACTTTTGGCTGTATCGGCGTTGACTCCTCTGTTCCGTTATACGCGGTCCCTCGTCTCCATCGAGGGAGGTTGACGCGGACGATCCACGCGATTGCCGTGAAACTGAACGCGACCGGGAGGCTTGACCGCTCCTCTGACAAGATTGCTCGTACACTGCTGTTTCATTGCGGAGACTATGTCGTCGGCGGCGGCTACCGCCCACTCGTTCAATAAAATACTCGCTCTCCCAAAGCTAGCCTCTAAGCACAGGACTACCGCAGACATCGACGAGGCTATCAAGAAACTCAGACGCTTGATTCTAGTGGAAGGCATCCCTTCAGCCATAGTGCGTAGGCAATGAGTATAGCCAACCATGCACAGCTTGACGATGCTCCATAGGATCCTACACTACGGCCGCGGATATGGAAGATCCTACTGGGGCTAGGCCCCGATGATATACCCGCAGACCTCTTCCTGTACTACGTTGGTCGCGGACCATGTGAAGTACGCGAGAAAATCAGGAACGACACGTTCAGGTGAGTATCTTGTCGTGGCCACGGAAATGTCTGCCGGTATGCTTGCGTACATGCCAGTTTACGGATGTCATATTCGTTACAGGACGTTGGCCACGGACCGCGGCTTCAAGGAACGTGTGCGTGAAGACATGCTGGTTCGGCTCCTTGATGCCTTCGTTTGGCGCTCGCAAGGTGAGATCAGGCCTTTGCGTCGCGAAATGTCCGCCTGAGTTGCTACCCAGATCGTCCTGAACAAGCCCTTGGTTTCACTTACGTCCAAGGCATGAACGTCCTCGCCGCACCTTTCTTGTACACCTTGCCGTCCGAAGTCGAGGCATTCTTCTGCTTTGCCAAGTTCATAGAGGAATCATGTCCCTTGTATGTTCAACCGACGCTAGAGGGTGTCCATCGCGGCTTGAAGGTGCGTGGGATGCGCATGCGTAGTTTAGCGCGTTGCTGACGGGGAGTGCACAGTTACTGGATCGTTGCCTGAAGATCGTCGACCCTGAGCTGTATGCATACCTTCGGTCTAAAAGGCTTTCTGCTGAGATCTATGCCTTCCCATGTGAGATCGCCGCAAAGTGTTGTGGAACGGATGCTGACCTCCATTCCCTTTCCATCAGCTGTACTGACCCTATGCGCTTGCACTCCTCCCCTCGATCAAGTCCTTCAGCTATGGGACTTCCTGCTCGCATTCGGCGTCCACCTGAACATACTCTGTGTGATCGCGCAGTTACTTCTCATCCGAGATGATGTGATGGCGTGCCCATCGTGGGTGTTTCAGCCTTACCACCGCTCTTAGATTGCTAAGAATATCACATTGATCAGGCCTATGCGAATGCTCCGGACATTCCCCCCGTTAGATGCTCAGCCGGTTATAGGCATCGCGGTGACCCTTGTGCGGGATCTCCCTCCAGAGTTGTATGACGAGCTCGTTAGGCATCCATACGAGCTTCGCGGGAACGAAGGGGGACGCTAGTTCGCTGTCTCGTGTGGATCGCTCAAGAAAGTTGTCGATACTCTACTGCTATCTCGCTGTCAGGTCAGTCGCTCCCTGACCCGCATTGACTGCCGAACTGACTCGATAAATTTGTACTAGTCGCTGTCGTTTCCGGAATCATGTATTCATAGCCGTGGTCATGTTGTGTATTCCCTAGCCGTTTCTCTTGGTATTGGATCATCTGATGTTATTCACGAGCGACACCCTTACGATAGCGAGTAAGTCGACCCCCTCTCTGTGCTACGCCGGCACTCTGCTCATTCGCACATCAGGACTCGTGCAAATACTCCGCGAAACCGCTTCAACGAAAACGCGCTGGGCGAATGTCATCAGGCATGGCGAAGTCCACTTTGCTCCTCATGTATATCAACGAGCACCGGACTGGCCAAAGCGGCGACTCCATCGCCCCAGACGTCGAGAAATTGTGAGTTCGAGTGGTGCCATTCGTCTATTCTGTGATCTAGGGTCCAAAGAGCGAGGGCGTTCCCTTCGTGCCCCAATTAGCGTCGTGGCGCGCAGAGCGTTCTCGGCCCTCCACTTTACCCGACCGAGCGCATATCTTGCTTCGTGCGTCCGACTCGCCTTGTGGCGCCGTTCCGACGTTCGAGCGTTCACACATCCTTCTCAGGGTTTGGGCGAGGTCGTTACCCCTTCGGGCCAGAAGCGTGGCCACAGCTCTGAAGCGGATGGGCGCGCCAATGCCTCGTTTGGTACCAATGGCGGTCTTGCCTTACGTCGTTGAGCGCAGCTGCGCCGCCGGCTGGGCCACGAGCTGGCACAGTTAACCCGGCTTTTGGCGCACGCCTCTGCATCTGGCATGCGTACATCTCGTTGGACGTTACCTTGTCTCGCAACAGCGGTATTAGGCATCAAGTTGCGGATACTCGAGCACTCACGCGCCCCGATGGCGTTCCGGGACGTTCCTCACGCGACTGATTTTGCTCACAACATCCGGTAGCTAGCGTTGGCATGTCCCGTTCAGAAAGCGGAAGGACGCCAGTCCGAAGTCGCCATCAAGCTCTACCATCTCCAGCTTCTGGTCTATGTCGGACAAGTGGGCCCGAGACCTCGGGTGCGCGATGGCGTCTCGGATCTCGAGAGGAGGAGGTTTGTATGCCGAGCTCGCATCGACATCCGACATGACCTGGAGCGATCCCGACCACCAACCAGGGAGCGCCCTTCTCTTCGATATGCCTTGGGTTTGAACGAAAACGTCGTCTGGAGAGGAGATAACCTACGTTGGCGTCGGTGCGACCAGTGAGACGCTCCTCGGACTAGTCTTTCTTGGCTGTCGGGCTGGCAGTAAGGTTAGGATGATTGTGACAAATCCTATCCACAACCGAAACGCACCTTTGTTCGCAGTCACACTCGCGCTTTGTGTGCTGTGGAGCTGGAGTGCGGCAAATCAAGGAAGGGAAATCATCTCCGCGTACGCTGCTGTGCTCCACGCTGGATCACACACCTTCTCCCAGCGAGCCTGAAAGGCGTCCGTACCATCAAGTGGTACCCTGTCGCGGGAGCGCGAATTGCCTTGCTCGATCATCACCTGAAACGGCTTCGTCGAAGAAAATAGACAAAGCACAGCTCACGAAGGATGATTATCGACGAATGTGTAGTCTCTTATGCCAACCGGACCCATTAGCCATCGACGAGGCGGGCACTGCCTCACGCGACAGCCGTTCGTGATGGGCATGTTCGCTGGCTCTTGCAGGCGGGTGGAGGCGAGTGGATTGTTTCGTACGTCAAACAAGGGCCGGCGACGCTCATGAGAGAAACAGGTCTCCATTGCCAGCGGCTTGCGTTTTAACGCATGAAAGTACGGGTCCAGAGGTTCAGGAAGATGAAGACCCCGTCCGCCCGTTAACGCCGTGGAGCAACGCACTGGGGCGAGGTCGCCGGTGGGATATTTCTTCCAAGGGGACGAGGGTCGCAGACTGCTGCGGGCAAGTTTCGCCAGGGTTTCACGCATGATTACGGCCCATCTCCCTTCCCGTCATCCGGAGCAATTTTTCTCGTTCGCCTGTGCGTCACCCTGCGCTATGAATTCTCGTGCAGGCCAGGTCCCGACGTTTCGGCGCTCGTAGCAATGGGTGTGCAATGCCGGCAATGTGCAACGGTCGAAGCGCTGGCGAGCGCGCGGCCGCATCGCCGGCATCGTCTTCTCGAAGCGCTTTCGAGGCGCGCGATTACTCGTTGCCATCGTTGTCTAGAACCTGCGGCGGGAGGTCTGGACCGCCGCGGTGTGGGGTACCCGTCCATGCTCCCCCGCCCCGCCTCGAGGCAAAGCGACCTCGACTTGATTTGCCTCGACGTCACACGCCCAATTGTATGGTGCAGAGGTTTTATGCGATCGCGACGGTCCACGCGCTCACGGGTGGACGTCTGCTCGGTTCAATGGCAAGGCGGGGTACGTGATATAGCACCACCGCGCCGTACGCGCGCTCCCTTTTGATCACAGATCCGGGTCCAAAATGAAAATCTCTGCTCGGATACGTTGGACCAAAATTGCCGACGGTGCCGCGATCGCCCGGGCACCCCAATTTGCAAACCAGGCAGGGCCTTTTACGCAGCGTCACCGCGTCCGCGCGCGAGAGCACGAGCAAGACGAGGTCCGTCCGGTCAACAGCAGGGCCTTCCTGATGGCCTATGTTAGCGCCTTGATGTATACCGTACGCTTGCGACCTATCCATGTCACGAAACGAGACGTGATGGCGCGGGTCGTGGAGGATAAAACCCCCATTTTTGTTAGTCGTTACTCTATAAGGCGAGGAGTCGTGGCAGGTTTCTGATCGCGCGAAGGGGACGACGATCTCGAGAACCGCTGGCATCTCCAGGAACCACGCCCGTTATGGGAGCGTCATCGTCTTTCGGTCGGACTGACCGGCATCTTAGATCCCCTCGGTAGAATGGGGTTTGTTACCGGGTCACCCTGATGGTCACCCGTGAGTGGTGTGTTACGTCGTCGGGTGGTCACGCTGGCTTCGCTCGGTTTGATCGCGCCACCGCGACGTTTCTATTTTCGTAGGTCTGGCGCGCCTCGTTGGACCCATGAGGCTCGGGCTATCGTGTCGCTGGACTTACTGTGCTTACTCGCGCTCTCTCCGTATCTCGAGCTGCACAGAGTGTGGCGCCAGAGGGTATGATGCCATCCGCCCTCATCTCCGGGGATCCACGGGGGGTGGGCAAGGGCCTTATCGTGCGGGCACGGGGGCGCGCTCTCTGCGCTCCCGCACGTCCCAAAGACGGCAGGCCACGCGCGGAGCACGTTGCGGTCGCGGAAGGCAGCCGGCAGAGGTCGCACGATAGGCCTCGGGATTACTGCAATGGCCAGGACGCGGTGGGGTTCTCGGATACGTCGTGCTGCCACCTACTGGATCCGCTGCCAGCGCAGGAGAACGACCCGGGCCCAGAGCCCCTCGGCAATGCCACGACGGCAGCCTATTACCTCTTGTCCCTCCGCGTGCAAGGGGCTGATGCATCGACCAGCCTTGGGCCATTCATAACTCATCATCCACGCCATCCGCGGAAGACAGCGATCTCCAGCGCGCGCCTGGACCGTGGAACCCATCGCGACACCCATTATAAGCCCTCCCGTCCGTCCACCGACGCTCCTCTGTGCCGTTGCGCTTGGAGTCTCCTCCTCCCTCTACTGTACAGCCGACCTTCGCGTCCTTAAACAAAACAAAACGAAGCCCAGCCCTTCGCCCCAAATGCCCGCCTATCTCTACAACACCTCTGGCTCGTCGGCCGCCTCTTCTTCGCGCTACAACGTCTACGTCCCCCCCGGCACCGTCTCCTCCTCCCGGTCCGCCAGCAGCCTCGTCAAGCGCAGCACGAGCTGCTCTGCCCCGGGCACCCCGGCCCCGTCGTGCTACGCCCTCTACCCGGCAAGTTACTCGAAGGAGAACTGCTCGATCCGGGGGGTCGAACCCAGCCGGCGGTATCACCGGTCGTCCAGTCGCAGGACTCGCGAGCCAGGTCGGTTTACCCTCGCTCGACGCGTGCACGAGTCGCCTCGGCTCATCATCGCCTTCGTCTTTGCAGAGCAGAATTACTACGTCTCGGCCGTTCAGTACAGCCCCTCGAGCGCGTCCGTCACGAGCGCGTCGTCCTCCCGCCAAAGTCGCTCGACGGACGCCAAGCCGCTCAAGTCGTCCTTCCGGAGATCGCACTCGGCGGACAAGCACGTCCACTTTCCCGACCAGCGACCGGCCGCGCCCCAGCGTCCCGTGCTCAAGCAAAGCCACACATGGCACGCCGGAGATTTCCAAAGCACCCCTCGCGATTGTGAGTTTTATTGAGAACGCGCGCGCGCACGGGTTCACCCAAGCTCACGATTATCCCTCCCCAGATGCCGTCCATGTTCCGCTCGACCATGCGTCTCATCATGCGCCAAAACCGCCCACGACGTCCTCGACCCCGCTCGTCGACATGCACCCGCTCTTCACGTCCACGCGACTCCACAACGCCCCCATCTCGTACGACATCACCTACGCCCCCTCCGCCTCCTCCGTCCTCGACCGCAAGACGCACGCGCCCGTCGCCGGCGCGACCCTCGCCCAGCCCGCGACCGAGCCCGCCGTCCCGGTGACGTCCCGGCTCGTCCTCACCTCGCACAAGTTCCCCTGGGCCGTGGTCGTGAACCCGTCCAGCGCCGGCGGCCGGCACACCCACACCTCGCGCTCGACGCCCATCACCAACCTCGACGTCCTCCACGCCGTGCACTCCACCCTCGCCAAGCGCGTCACCGCCGAGGAGTGGAACTCGCTCGGGGCGGACAGCATGGTCCAGCGCAAGGTCCGGAAGGCGTACGAGAAGCGCTGCAAGAAGCTCGGCGGCGGCTGGGAGGGCGGCGTCCGCCGCATCGACTGGCTCCACGGCAAGACCCGCCTCGCCGGCGTCGAGGTCGACAAGAACGCCGGCGCCGGCGCCTCCGGCGTCTGTCGCCTCGTCTTCGCGAGTCCCAAGGACTGATGAACGATCGCTCTCTCTCTCTGCTCTCTCGGGCGGGCATACACACGCCATGCACCTGTTTTTGTTTTCCCCTCGCTTTGTTGGCATTTCCCCCTCTTGCATCGGGTGTTCTCTCTCCTCGGCAGTACATAAGCGTCGCTCCGCGTACTCTCGCGTCACCCGGATGTGGGGCGCGTTCTGGCGGAGCCCGCAAAGGTTTGCGATTTCGGACTGGGCTCGGGACTATTTACTTGTGTACCATATGACGGCCCCCCACCTCACCCGCGATGTTGTTGTTTTTTTCACGATTCCAACGACTTACTACTACGAATCGTTATGGCTGTAGCCTGCTGTACTCTAGCATCCGCCCTATACGGCAGCATTTTTGTATATATAGTCACATTATGGAAACCAAACACTCCTTTGCGCGCAACACGTACTCGAATCCCGCTTTCTGGGGCGACGCGCAAACGACAAAAACCCCGGAATACGTTCCTTCACATTCACATGGTGCAGCAGTGCGCGAAAACAGGACCTGTTTACTCCATGCGTCGAGCCTCATGACCGCAATAAATCGCACCGAAAACTGGGGTACACAGAAGGTGCCGACGTTCACGGACGTAAAGCCCGTTCATCGCCCCTCGCTGGCTGTAATGCTCTCACAAAGAAGACAGGGAAAAGGGGGGGTTATGTAGTCACCACGCTTTGCACTTTGTACGACACGATGTCAGCGACGTGCCTCTCATCTGACCTGGCGTCCTGACAGGACGAAAACGCTGATAACAGTTTGAGGGACATTGGCTCTATTCAGTCCGAGACCCCCCGTTACAAGCACACGTATTACCACCATCCACGCAGTTCGGCCCACCCATTCAGTCTCTCACTTCATATGTGGCGCAAGTTGCGCATTCCCCGACCGCGCGTCACACGGCAGTTGGGACGCGCCGAGTAGCAACGCCAGAAGCTGTTTCGGCCAGGAGGGAGCTTATTTCCGGCAATCTTTGACCGAGCTATCCTCGTCGAGGTCGGACGTCAGCGATCCCCAGGGTTCTTCGCGTCATCCAACAAGTGCTTCTGGCATGTTAGGGTTTCACCCAGAAGGCCCTGTCCGGCAAGCTCGAGAGAACGGGCGGGCACGCGTCACTACCGCGGGGTCGCACGCGTCTTTGATAGCGAGCTGCGCAAGCGTCCAACGCCATGGCGCGAAACGCGGCGGAAGTCATGTTCCTCTCCTACGAAGATGCTGATGGCGGGTCGCCGGGGTCTGGGTCCGCCCTCCGCAGCTGCCGTTCTGCCCAATGATGATGAGGATAGTTCGAGGAGGACGGAGATAAGCGCCAGGGAGAGCTATGAATGTCGTTCATCTCCCGTCGCTGCTTCGCAGCCGAATTAGTTTAACCTTAGAGGTCAGCGCGGACGCACGTTCGAGCACCGTCATCCCTTTTGCGGTAACTTTATCAGACTCGGGCGCTGAGTCAGTGTCCTAGGAGATCTGGCTTCGGATTCGTCGCGGCCCTGTCCGTTCCCAGTCGCGCCGTGAATACGGGCGGTTCGCGACGCGTCTCATGCCCGACTCCAACGCGGTCAGGGTGTTCGCGACCTGGATCGTGCTTCGGAAAGATAAGGTACGCAAACATAGCGCCTACGACGTCATGGTCGCGAACGTCGGTAGCTGTGCCTAAGGATCCCTATAAGGAAATATGGACGGTTATCCAGTGCCGCCGGCTCGAAAAGTGAGAGAATACGTACCAGTTGGGCTCTCCGCGTGCTGGACAACATGAAACCGCAGATAACCTTGGATAGAGTCTACGAGGACAGGTACGCGTCGTTCCCTCAGTCCCAAGCAGAGCCTTGAGTGAGAGTATCTGCGAGCGGTCCCTTGTGTGATACTGCAGGACCAGAGACGCTACAACGGAAGACAGCCTGCGACATCCCACACTCCATGCCCCCAGCATGAGCATAACAGCTCGCCTTGCGCGTTGACCTAGAGAATTGTCATATGATTGTGTGCTCAGGAAGCAAACGCTTTCATCACTCACGGATCCGCGACATAGAGGGCCTGAATTCTGCAATATAGACACCGATTGCATCTTCATGTGCAGCATCCGGATGACGGGACTGCGTTCCGTTCGCGTAAACGTTGGTCAAGCTTGAGCATGCTCGTGGAGACCGTCGCCACGCTCAACCCATGCGAAACAACTCTAGATAGACGTTCCAGGCGGCTTGGAGGACGACGTGCGAACGTACGGTCCTTGTCGGGCTTCTGGCCGAAGCATATTGATAGCCTACACACAGCAAACGTCCATGAACCACGATTGCAACAGCATGTCCTGGCTTCTGGCAAAAATTGTCGGCTACATGGGCGTACTATCGGGCCCATCGATCCTCTATCCGCATTAACCTTGTCTGCGCGAATTGACAACTGCTGCGCATCCTGAAGAGAAGGGGGCGGACATTGAGGGGAGCGTCATCAGAGCGACGCATGTCGAGACCCGTTGATCGCCAGTGCGAATGCCGGCGCGCAGGATCGACGCCGTGCGGACTGGCGCGGCGAGACTGCGGGCGGCGCTTTGGCCAGGCCTTCATTGCGCATGGCGACGGTGCGCCATCTCCGAGGAAGAAGCTCCCACGCTCTGAGACGTGCAGCGAGGCGACAATAATCTTTACCGAGTCGTGGCGCCGTCCCGAGCTCTGGGTTTTGACCTAAAGCGGCTAATGGCGGGAGGGGGGAAGGGTGTGGCGGGAGGCAAAAGAGGTAAACGCGCCTTGCACGTGCAGCGCGCCTGCAGGGACCGCAATTCCCACGCCGCTTTTCATGCTCGGTTCCACCTTGCTCCTGCACTCTTCGCTCTGCTGTTCGGTAATAGAGCACGCGGAGGAACTAGCCAGACTTTGATAGCGCAAATCTACTCCTCGGCGGCTCGGATGAGCGTCTGCGGTCCGATTCCCCATCCAGCTCGCCAGATGCATGCAGAAGGATCAATTCTGTTTGCGTACTCGCACGCAGGGATGGGAATGCATCATCTGCGCGGCAGATACGGATTCACTCTCGTACTCATGCTCTGCATGCTTGATAGGATGGACGGGACGCCCCACCCGAGACCGCCTTTCCAGGGCTTAGGGATGCTGTGAACGCTGATCGTGCTGTGCAGTCACGTCAATGCTATGCGGGTAGCGCAAACGTGCGGGAAAGGCGCTTTGTTCTTGTCTTCGCGATAACAACGATCGGACTGGAGCGATGGGATCCATGCGGCAACCAAAGTGACTGTACGATCGACGGTTCGGCTTATTCTTACGTATCCGGCGAATAAACGCGGTGAGCCTGTATTCCAGCCCTTGTACGCGGTAACGCTACGTATGTTCGTGTCCATGCCATACTAGTTTACGGCTAGCAGCGCCTTGTCTTGGCTCATGGGAACGAAACGGACCTGGCTTGTTCCTCTCCGATTTGCACGACAGCAACGCAGATTGTTCGGTAGCGAACGCAACGCCATAAGCGCCTTGTTCCAGTTGATGCTGGGAGCTGTCGAGCCGGACTCGTAGGCCACGACTCGCACTTCGCCCGGTAACGAATGTTCACGGCCCTTGTGGTTCATCATTGACTCTCGTTAGCATGGCAGCAGCCTGCACAGGCCAAAAACGTTTTGTCGGGGTTCCTGTTACAATCTGTGTGGCGACCAGAAAAAGCTGTAAAGTAAGGCGCGTGGGCAGTCACTGGCGCCTTGCCTCGATACCGACATCGGCCAGGTTTGTCTTGATTATCCACCAGCTGGCAGCCTTGCTCATTATGCTCTAGCCTGCGCAAGGCCAAAAGACGCTTTGTTTCTTCTGGGACTAGGAGCTATTCTGTGAGTATAGAGCTGTAGAGTGGCCTTGTGCGGCCCCCGGAACGCCACATAAAATGGCCCACGTATAAAAGCTCGAGATCGACGCCTCAACTCCGCGGTCAGGTTTCCAGCATCTGGCAACACCAACATCTCTCTTTCTGCTCTTGAAATCCTGTATAGCAACATGGTGATGCCCATGATCTCATCGCCCAAGGCCTTTCTTCAGCCGCGTGGCGCTCACGGTGGTGGTGAAGGTGGCGAAGGGGGACGGGGTGGAAGTGGCGGCTCTGGCGGAGGAGGCGGAGAAGGGAGTGACGGGAGCACGGGTAGGGGGATGCCAGTCGAGGGTTCCACTGGCAGCAAAGGTGTTACAGCGTCCTCTAAATCGAAAGGTGGAGGACACCCCCATAAGCTCGGCAAGAACTCTCCGTTCAAGGGCAGGTTAGCAGGTGGGGGCACCAGGGTATGTTTGAACTATGTCGCGTGGCACGGGTGCGTGCTGACGATTCGCCCTTAGGATGAAATTGTAGGAACCTCGCGGTACGGCAGCGGCTGGCCTTACGGCGGCACTGGCACTTTCGTGGATCAACGACCGCTTCCCTTCATCTTCTGGCCTATCGCGATTCATCATGGATATTATGGGGGCGATATTGTACGTGGCATAATGACCGTTTTATGATGTTGCTCAAGTATGACGACAGTACTACCGGGAGTCTCAGCGACCCGGGGGAAACACCTCGACCATGGCCATACCGTCTCCCGACAATGCCACTGTGATTTACCGCGTCACTGGGGATTACATGTCCGTGAGCGCGATATTCGACGCGCTCGAGCTCAACTGCCTGCCCGGCAACGGTACGTACAGTATCGCAACGTTCGGCGGGTTCAACAACGACAGCGACACGGTCTTCCCAAAACCCGAGCAAGTGGTGCAATGGTATCGCGCCTCGTCTTTTGCGCTCTCGCTGGACGGATACAACAACTCTGCGGCGCTGCAGTCGCGGATGCCGGCCAACTCGACGGATAACTCGACGCTGATTCCGCTAAGCGAGGATACCCCGCTACCGCCCTACATCAACTCGACTTTCCTCACTTGCTTGAACCAAACAATCGCGCAGAACCTACCGCTGATCAATCCGAAACACCATCACCTTTCTGCTGGAGCCGAGACTGGCATCATCTTCGTCGGCTCACTTGTTGGTTTCGTGGCACTGATCCTCTTGTGCTGTAAGTGTTGCCCACGTAGCTACTACTAACGGTGGTAGAGTGGTGTATGGACCTATATCTATGTTATCATGGCGTATGCAGCTAGTAATGTGACCCGATATACCCGTCCTTTCCGAGCTTGCCGTGAACTCTGTTCGCCCGTGTGGCTGTGTCTTCCAAGCGCCCAGAGGCTTCGGCGCTTAGTTTGCGTGCACATTTTTGACGCAACTTAGCCGAGACCGTAGAACCGGCTCGGCCAATTCGCCGTCCCCTGCAAACCTCCTTCTCTGGTCCTGCGACGTGTTGGATGCTCTGAATGAAGAGGATCTCTCGTTACTCTTCCAAGAACCGTTTCTCTCGTTCTCTCCATTCTTCGGCCCCCTCCTCGTGGATTGCTCAGCTCCGCAAGTCGCAGGACCAACCTCGCCAGCATGACCGTCCCAACAGGAACAGACGCGACCTGGAGCTTGAACATTTGTCAAACGAGGTAGCGGAATCTGTGCGCGATGTTTCGAAGACCGACAAACATGGTATGTGCTATCTATCCCTACTTAACGCACGCCCCCTGATCACTATATAGTCCCGCGCAACCCACTAGGTGTCCAGCTGCTGTCGCCAAGTCTACATGAACAGACATTTCGCGACGCCTGGCCCCGTCCTCCTCCCAAACAATATATCCGCATCGCCCGCGAACATCTCGAAGCGCACGGTCTCGACCCCAGTCAGGGGTCGGTCCTCCCCGATGTTTCGTTCACGCTCCCCCCTCTCTGGGGTGACAATATCGACGAGCACTTTCATTTCATCGGCAGCACCATATACCAACCCTGGATCACCATTGCTGAGGATTTCGCCACGGAGAAGCTCCTTCCCAAGCCCGAACACTGGGAGCTGCAGCCGGGGTGGACCAAATATCACTACCGCGAAGACGGATCGAGCTATAGCGAGGCAGTCCCGTACCCGATGCACGACGGCGAAGTGGAGAGAATGCTGGTGTTCGACGTGGAGACGATGCCTGAGTACTCGCCCTATCCCGTCATGGCCTGCGCCGCCACCCAGAATGGGTGGTACGCGTGGATATCACCCTGGCTACTTGGGGAATCAAAAGACCCTCAACATCTCATAACGTTCGGCGAGCCCGGAGAAGAACGCATCATCGTCGGGCACAACGTCTCGTATGACCGTGCTCGCATCGCCGAGGAGTACCGGCTCGAAGGCACCAAGACCCGTTTTGTAGATACGATGTCCCTCCACGTTGCCGTCAAGGGCATTTCCTCCCATCAACGGCCTGCTTGGAACAAGCACCGCAAGGCAAAGGACAAAGCGCGGGAGCAGAGGGAGGAGGCGATGGATACCGTCTTGCAGATGCTGAGGGATGCTAAAGAAGCTGAATTGAAGGCAAAAGGCGAGGAGCGGGAGAGGCTGCGCCAGCTCATAGCTGGTTTTGAGGAGAGCCTGCCCGCGCTGAACCGAGCGATGCAAGAGGACCTCCCCGACGAGGCGGACTCCGGCAATTCGGATGAGGTGGAGACTAAGCGCTGGGAAGACCTCACTTCTGCCAATTCGCTCGCGGACGTCGCTTCTCTATACTGCGGTATCAAGGTCGAGAAGGAGATCCGGAGCGACTTTATGACGCACTCGCGCGAGGAGATCCTGGAGGGCGTTCAGGACTACCTCAACTACTGCGCGAACGACGTGGACGTGACTCACGCCGTGTACTCCAAGGTGCTCCCTGCGTTCCGGGAACGATGTCCGCACCCTGTCTCTTTCGCGGGTATCCTCACCATGGGCTCGAGCTTCCTGCCGGTCAATCAGGAGTGGGAACGGTATCTCGAGAACGCGGAGAGGACGTACAAGGAACTCGATGATGGGGTGAAGAGCCGGCTCGTGGAACTCGCGGAGCAAGCTCGCGGTATGGCGGAGACAGAAGCGTGGAAGGAGAGCCCGTGGTTAAGTCAGCTGGACTGGACTCCGAAGAAGGTGGGCGCTTCCAGAGGAAATGGGGTGCGTCAGACCTGCATTGCTTATCGCTCCTATTGATATTTTCTATAGGCGGTAGCATCTACGTCGCAAACTATGCGGTCTACGGAGCTCGATACCCCAAATATCCCGGAGTCCGACACTCTACCTGCTTGGTACAAGGCAATCATCGAGGACGGCCCAATCTCCAAGAAAGTGCTCAACCTCACCATGCCATACCTTCTTCGACTCCAGCTCGACGGCCGCCCGCTCCGCTACTCGACAACGCGCGGGTGGTATTGTCGGCACCCCGATGGTGAAATCCAGCTCCCGGCAAAGCGCAGAAAGGTGTCGGCGTTCATAGGGCCCACGAATGGGCTGCCGTTGTTTGACAATGGCCGTGTCACATCCGACCGCGAGGGCTACGCTGAGCTTGCGCACGCGCTGGCCAAGGGATATGGATCGCCCATTTACTTGCGGCAGGTCCTGACGATAGCAAAGGAGGCGCTTGCGGCTGGCCCTCCGACTAAACCGCGTTCCGCAGACGACGAAGACGCCGATCCATGGGAGCTGCTCGATTGGACGGCGAATGGACCTAGATCTACCCGAGATTCGAAAAAATCTAAAGAAAAACCTAAAGCTGACAAAGTGGTATATTGGCCCAAGTGGTATTGGGACCTGACCCGGCCCCGCAAGGGCCACCCGCCTGGATCGCTCGATTTGACCGTCAGTAAGCGGATATCTCCCCTCCTTCTCCAGTTGTCGTGGCAAGGCTGGCCGCTCTTCCATTCGCGCGAACATGGGTGGGCGTTCCGGGTGCCGCGGTCCGTTGCCTACAAGCCTGCGCGGACGTCGACACCGCTATACTTTGCTCACCAGGCGGATGCGAAGTTGGGCGATATGGCCTGCGAATTCGTGTTTTACAAGATGCCGCACAAGGACGGAGAGGAGGCGAACGTAGGCAATCCATTAGGGAAGACGTTCATGAAGTACGCGCAGGACGGAACGATGACGAGCCCCAGCGACGCAGCCAAAGACGCGTTGGACATGAACGGGCAATGCAGCTACTGGATCAGTGCGCGCGACCGGATACTGAACCAGATTGTGGTTTGGCAGGATGCGAAGCGGGAGCTCGGATTCCCGACGTCCGGTGAGGATGAGAAGTGGGGCGTCATTCTGCCGCAGATGGTGACGATGGGCACGGTGACGCGGCGGGCCATGGAGCGCACGTGGCTGACGGCGTCGAACGCGAAGAAGAACCGGGTCGGGTCGGAGCTGAAGGCCATGGTGCGCGCCCCGCCAGGATACGCTATCGTGGGCGCGGATGTGGATTCGGAGGAGCTGTGGATCGCGAGCGTGCTCGGGGACGCGCAGTTTGGGATGCATGGCGCGACCGCGCTCGGGTGGATGACACTCGAGGGCACGAAGGCGGCGGGAACGGACCTGCACTCAAAGACGGCGTCGATCCTCGGCATCTCGCGCGACCAGGCGAAGGTGTTCAACTACTCGCGCATTTACGGTGCGGGCATGCGACACGCGGTGCAGCTGCTGTTGCAGAACAGTGCCGGCATGAGCGTGGAGAAGGCCCAGGAGCTCGCGACCGAGCTGTACGCGCGTACGAAGGGGAAGAACACGCACCGGAAGGACCTATTCGGCCGCAAGTTCTGGTACGGCGGGACGGAGAGTGTGGTATTCAACAAGCTCGAGGCGGTCGCGCTTGCAGACGTCCCTCAGACGCCCGCGCTCGGATGTGGCGTGACGGATGCGCTCACGAAGGCGTACCTCACCGAGGGCTTCGGGACGGACTACATGACGAGTCGAATCAACTGGGTCGTGCAGTCCTCCGGAGTGGATTACCTGCATATGCTCATCGTCGCGATGGAGCACCTCATGCGCGACTTCAACATCCGTGCGCGGTACCTCATCAGCGTCCATGACGAGCTGCGGTACTTGGTCAAGGAGGAGGACAAGTATCGCGCGGCGCTCGCGTTGCAGATTGCGCACTTATGGACGCGCACTATGTTCGCATACCGGCTCGGGTTGGATGACCTCCCGCAGGGGGTGGCATTCTTCAGCGCGGTGGACGTGGACAAGGTGCTGAGGAAGGAGGTGGACATGCCGTGCGTGACGCCGAGCCAACCGAACCCGATCCCGCCGGGAGAGAGCCTGAGCATCGTGGACGTGCTGAAGAAGACGGACGGCGGGTCTCTATACCCCGGGGGGCCAATGCCGTCTCCGGAGGAATGGGCAGACGAGAATCGAGACTTGACGGTGCGGATGATCTTGAACGCCACCAATTACGTCCCGCCGAATACCATGCAACACCGGGCGGAGAGCGCGTACTTCTTGCGCGCCCAAACAACGTCAGAGTTAGCAGAAGTGCGGATGCTCGCGCGGCAGGCGCAGCGGCGAGCCGACCCGACGAAGTCGTCGTCGACCGGTAAACGGAAGGCGAGCCAGACTAGGAGGTCGGCGGGCGACAAGAAGGTGCTCTCGGTTGTGAACGTGCTGGAGGTGCCCGAGCTGGTGGACTTGACGGAGCGGTATTTGGCGTGGCAGGGGGAACACCGGGTGTAACACTATTCATTCGTATTTCCGGTATATATGCATATAGTCAGTATAATGTCCGTCGATTGCTTGTTTTGCACATTGCTATAAATTACATTAGTCGGTGTTGGTACGTTAGGACTACGCGTGAATATGATGAAAGCATCTCTCTTTCATTCCTGTCCGTCTTTAACCGTCTTTGACGATGAATGTTTCGGTCCATTTCTCCTTCTTCTTCGGTGTAGGTGATTCCGGCCGGCAGCGGTCGCGGGTCGTGGTGTGCAACCACCACTCAGAAGGGGAGCGCATCTCCAACCCGCGAAACCAACGGTGGTTACCAAAGACATCGCGCATGAGATACGGCGTGTCACCGAACGCTGGGGCTTTTATCATGGAACCCATGCGTCGCTGATGCTCGGCGGCGACGGCGTGTCGTGTACGATATCCAAGGGCTTGGTACTCCCCTACGGTGAGACGCTGCGTCTGAAGGAAGGAGGCGAGCTCGAGCAGGAGCAGGCGAAGGTCGATCGCGCGGGGGCGCGGCGTGGCTAGGTCGAACGCAAGGGAGGGCGCGCAGGCTAGCCGGATGCGGATCGAGCGGAGGGGCGGGGCAAAGGCGGGGGTGGCAAGCTCCAGGGAGGCGAGCGGGATGAGGGCCGAGGAGGTGAGGGCCGAGAGCGAGGCAGCGTCGAGCGGTGCGGTGAGGTCCCAGAGAAGCTCGGGATACTGGTGCTCGGCGTGAAGCGCGAGCGCGGGATGGACGAGCGGAAAGGTCGGGTCGCACGCTGTGCCGCGCAGTGAGAGGTCATCCGGGTGGGCGGAGGGGGTCGGGGGGACGTACGTGCGCGCATCTGGGCTTTGGTGTACGCGGCGAACGCGGGATCGTCGTTGGCGTGGGCGACGGACTCGGGGACGTCTGCAAAGAACGGGCTCGCGCCGGAGGTAGTGTGCACGCCGCCGTGGAGACGGACGCCAGATTCGGGAGACCAGGCGGGGAGAAAGCCGAATGGGTGGCCGCACGCGTCCTGCTCGTCGCGCGTACGGAGAGACCGACGATGCGCCGGTTCGAACGAACGCCAGAGAGCGTCCGGGTCGTCATGCGCGAGTGGGGCATATACCCAGCCGGGCGGCGGAGAATAGTACGGCCATTGGGCATAATGCAGGTCGCGTGGGAGGGGCGGCGAGGGTGGCGATGGAGGGCGGGCGACGGTCGCGGAGGACGGGCGTCGGGCGCTCGGCGGGCGGGCGTCGGGGGAGGCGAGGGGGATCTGGGTGGATGTGCTGGACTGGACGGCGATGCTGGGGCTCATCGTCGAGGACGCTGGGACGGGAGAGCCATCCTCTGCGAGCCGTGGACGAGCACAGACGGCAAAGGGCTAATCTCGTGGCGGTGTCTGCTTTATCCGTTTTCTCAGCATACTTCACCGACCGAGTCTGTTAACGTACCACACCAAGCAGTGTCTGTGAATAAAGCCCTGTCGGGTGCGTCAGTTTTGCAGACACATTACTAGGGGCCATCTCTTTCCTGCACTCACAGGCTCGCGTTCGTACCTTTTCTCGGTCGACACAAGGGTCGTAGCATCCCTGATCACCGAACTCACATCGCTGAGGCATCAACCTGACACAGTCCTCGGCCACGGAAGAGTCTCCCAATGCTGTGCTACTTCTATATCACACCGGCGACGTACATGAATCTCTGCATCTCGTCTCTGCGATGTATACCGCAAGCCTAGGCTCCACGGGTACGTAATCGCTCAAGCCGTTCGAATTTTGGTATTACAGCTTGAAATATCGTCTCGTTAGCATAGCAGCATGGCAGGTCCATCCGTACTGCAAGACACCGACTAGATTGCCGGATGCGCCGCCTGGATCGCCCAATCACGATGGGGGACGTCGTTAACTCGGCGACGTTGTGCATCACATGCGACCTATATCTGATTCGGGCTGCATTCAACTTGGTCGTCAGGGCAACTCTCGCGCGGAGGCATCCTCGGCGGAGCCACGGCTTGCCCAACGAAATGCCCAAAGCTCAAAACGTTCTGCTTGGACACGCTGGCATGACCTCACCGAATGCGCGATTCGCGGACCGAACGCTGACGCGCCGGCCGCATATTACCTTCCTAGCGCCGGGAAGGGCCCGCGTCCTAGTAGTCTCTTCGCTAGCGTCGCACCCGTGGCTTTCATATCCAAGTATGACCCTGCCAGCGATGCCATCAGATCAGATTGGTGGCGAAATGATATGACAGTTACTGCACGTAACAGAGGTAAAGCGACCGTGGCCTCTGGCTGGACGAAGGCCCCATACGGGTGTGCGCATTGGACACGCACATCCTGCTATTCCCAGGCGCTGTAGCTGCTGCGAGACCTTGTGGGCAGGGTGTATCAACGAGCGAGTCAAAGCTGCAGAGATGGGGACATTCCATTGTTGTATTACTTAAAACCGTCAGTGCGATTGTTCAACCACTGCCGGCAGCCTTTCTTGGGGCTGGGATATCGCAAACCTAGGACGCAAAGACGTGCGTCATGCTGTCTAGATGTCACTACAGTAAATGTAATGTATAGAACCCAACCCATGGTGGTGTTACTGAAACCCCGAGTCTATGCTGGCGGAGAATTTTGTATGGTTCATAGCACTTTTGTCGAGCTATACAGATATATACTAGCAACTACTCTCTTTCGTTGCCCATTAATAGCACTTGAAAACGGCGCCAATCTCAGAATATTCTGGCAAAGATTTGTGCAGCAGTGATTCAGACGGACGCCGTCACTGGTGTATTCCTCCCACAGCATTTGCTAAGGGATGCATTGTACACGCATTGTCCAAAGCGCTAGCTGCAATCTACCCATATCCGGATGTACGACAGCATTTGCATCTATGCTACGGAACCTAAAATACACCACTGCATGACATTCGAATCTGTGTTTCACGGCCCAGCCATGTCTGTGCACAAGCCAACGTCAGAGCGAGCTATAACCGGTTTGACAATGTTACCGCCCATTATATAACTGCATTTGCTGCAATGGTCATTGTCGGAACATCGAGGAGGCCACCGACAATGGGCGTTCGGCCGCGCCGACGGGCGGGCGGCGGGATCAGCTGGCTGGGAAGGCGCCAACGCATCAGCTTCGGGACGTGACGGGATCGTGAGAAAGCCGACTATCATTGCTATATCGGGTATAGCGCTTCCGCCGACCGACGCGGGACGCCCATCTTTAGCACGTTCCCTCCTTATCTTCCCTTCTTTGGTATCATGCCGAGCCCCATGCGCCGCCCTGACTCGGTTGAGAGCTGCACTCTGCACGGCGCCGCCGGGCGTCGGCGGTCACGCCTGCCGTGGGCGACAGCACAAACTGTCGCAAATCCCCCGCCGTATAAGAACGGCGGCGGCCCCCCTCCGACGAGTCACCAACCGCCGACGGCCAACCCGCCCACCGCGCCGCCCCCCGCCATTTCTCCCGGCCCACACCGCCCGCTCTAGCCCACATCCTCCTCATATCTACGCATTAGCCCCCCTCCCATTGGTCACTATGAGCCGCTCCACTAGGAACACCTTCAGCCCGGCGTCGCAGACCGCTTCCCCGCCGTGGTCCGTCGGGTCCCTCGACTCCGCCCCCGGCGCGCCGCCGCTCTCGCCGCTCTCAACCGGCAGCACACAGTGGCTCTCCGTCCGGAGGCCGTCCGACCCGACCCAGGCGCCGCATATGGGCACCGTCCCGCTGCCCGACGTCGCCGCGCCTTCATGTATGTCCCTTATCTTCACATCTTCCTAGACGAACCCTTGCTGAACTTGCTTTTATCCCGACCAGACGGATTGCCCTCCCCGCCCGTCTCTCCTCAAAAAATCCGTACAGCTACTCCCCTCTCAGTCAACCCCGCCATCGCCTACGGTTCCTGTACGCAGTTCGACCTCGGACTCTCCGTCCCGGGCGTCCTCACCGTCTCCGAACCTGCCTTCTCTCCCTCCGTTCCCCGCGTCCTCATTCGTATCCCGGGCACGCCTACCCCAATCCTCGTGACCCACCCCACCGGCCAGCCGCTCACCGTCAGGCGCACGATGCACGACATCTGGACCTTCCTCCACGCACCCATCGACGGCGCTGAGTTCAGAACCTGGCCCGCTCAGATTCAAGCGGCCGCCAGCGTCGCGTTCCGTCAGCGTGCCTCCCTAGGCGGATCCTCTGACTTCTCGCAAGGTCTCCGTCGCGTGGACGTTCTCGGCCAGAACGTCGTATTCGCCGGACTCTCCCCCTTGGCGGACGGCAGTTTGATGCTTTGCTTGGGCCTCAGGCAGTAGGCCCATCCTTACTAACATTTACATCTAATAGCTTCTAGAGGAACGGCGAAATACCCTACTCTGCCTCGATCTCAAAGATCTCTCAAGGATCTCCTGCTATATGGACCGCGCTGCACGGACGCTTCTGTCTCTCTATTCCTGTGTTCTCGCTCTCGCTTGTCGTCGCTGTCGTGTATCGCTATCTCTCGCTGTGTATCTTCCGCATGTATCACCCACCTCTCCTGTTTCTGTAAAACCCATCGCCCTACCCAGCTCGTATCGTTATCCAAGCTATCTACTCCAACCCTTTCTCTTACCCAAATGTAACGTCCTGATGACTGTGTAATCGAAGGTCCCATCGCTTCTATTGCGTGTTTCAATCTGAAGGTCGTGGAGAATATTGCGCATTCAAATGCGAAGTATTGCACCAAATGCACTCTACCAGTACCGCGCCCACGCTCTATCTGACGCGGACCTTGATTTCTTGATCTCGTACTTCCACGATTGCACACGACATGAAACTTTGGGCGCCATCTTCAAAGCGATGTCACACCTATCTAAGTCGGTCCTCTGCATCAGCACCCACCACGTCGGTAGGCTGCATGAGTCCAGCTTCATGCTGCTAGGCAGATTCGAGGCTAGACTCCAGTCGGTAGAGCTCGCATGTTGCAATCGAGGGTTTCATACCTTGGGAGACGCTAGCCACATGTGCTTCGCTACATACTCTTTCGGCGGACGTCCTTGGTAGACGGCATACGGGTCTCCGGAACAGAGAGAATGATGTGGGTATGGGACATGTATCGAACCCGGGTGATTATGTATGACCCATGCGTCAAAACCCAGGGCGCTAGCCAGGACACTCACACTACATATACGCGGGGTGATACACAACCTCAACCTCCAGATAAATGGCCCCCGTGTCATACCTTCATCCCGACTCCGTCGGCGCCGTCGTCGACATCCGCGTTCTCGACGCGGAGTCATTCAACTCCAATTGCCCACACCTTCGTGACCTCCACATAACATGCGTACAAGCGAATGCCCTTCTCGGCTTTCTCAAGTCAGCGGCAACTCCGGAGGCCGTCTTGTCTTTTTGGACCTCTTTGGCTCCCGACGTCACCTGCGGGAAAGTCTCCGTCGCGGTTGCTGTTGCTAAAACGGATCTGGTGGATGAATCGGAACTGGTCGGCGTAGTGTATCTGGTTCATGACCAGGCGACCAATGGCCGCCACAGAGGCGAAATATCAAAGCTTATGGTGCACCCTCGATGGAGAAAACGGTAAGAGACGATATCGGAGATTAGCACATGGCATCGCCAACCTGTTGCTCATTTTTCTCGAGCAGAGGTATTGCACGGCGGCTGATGGAAACGATCGAAGATGTCTGTCGTCGAAAGGGTATCAAGATTGTGGTACCTCACCTTCTATCACACTGACTGACCCGTTTCTGATGTGTGTTGCAGACCTTGGGTACAGAAAAGGGTAATGCGTCCAATATGTTGTACCGTGGATTGGGTTATACCATGGTAGGGGATTGTCACAAGAATCCGGAATCGTATCGCATTCGCTCTGACAAAGGATGCATACAGTACGGCGAGCTGCCGGGGTGGTCATGGACTCCTGATGGAGACCAATTGGTAAATATGGTCTGCTATTATAAACGATTTTGACGAAACGGCGATGCGTCTTCGGGTCTGTGTAACGCGGATGGGCTCTCCAGAAGGCGTGGTGCCGTGCTAGCGAGCTGGATGAGCCGATCCTTCTATCGCGCATACATGATACCGCCTGAAAGCGAGGATCAACCTTGCACATGAGAAATCAGGTTATGACAAGACTACTTCGATCACCGAACCGACACGGATGTGTTCATTCATGCCCAATGGTAAAAATCTGTACTATTCCGCCAAAATCGTGTCTTTAAACGATCAGCTGAGGAAGGAATTCCATCCGGACATGCTCGAATCCGAGAAAACGCTAGTGAGAAGGACGCATGAGACAATCGGTGACAAACGCTGTGGGGAGTCTTACCGATGGCTCGCCTTCCTTTGTCGGGGACGACGCACAGAATCCTGCAATAGGTAGTCGGTGGTTCGGGACGAAGCAACTGAGTTCAGTGGAGGCGGTAGACAGCCGTCCTCCATTGGCCATTCCGACCTGGAGAACCATGTAAGAGATAAAGCAGATAGCAATCTTGAACTGACCTCGACGTCAAATGCGTTCCTCCCGTGCTATATGGCGACACGCCAGCGCTGATGCTGGAGAGGCTAGACGTTGCTGACGGTGTGAGCGCCATAGATCTGCACGTCTGTCAGAGGCGTTCGGAGCAGGGGATGTACGGAATAGCTCACATGCTTGAGGTTGACGTCGGCGTCCCTCTTGATAACCTATCGCCGAACGATTGAATCGATTGCGACAGTGGGGACCGGACACCGACACGCTTGTAGATCTGTGTAATCTCTTCATCTTCGCGCAAGTCCTCCTCGTCTATGTTCTCCAGAGCTCGGCGATGTGATTTCACAAATTTATCGCGGAAGGAGACCAGCCCTTTCAGCGAGAGAGGTTCCTCAATCGTATTCTGGAAACCAGTCAAACGACTGTATAAAGAATGACATTACTGGGGACTTACATAGTCGAAGTGGTTCAACAGAATGTCGATCATGAGGAGTAATTTATCATCCACCCCACCGACAACCTGCAACTGAGGAAGAGCTTGACATAGTGCGCATAGGAATCCGTCTACAAACTATCACAGAATGTCACAATGTAAGCCAGATCCAGAACCTACCATGTTGATCAGGATCATATAGGGCCTCCAAAATGTCTTTTGCTAGTAACAGATGGATATTGACCGGCTCCGTCTCCCCCGCTTGAATCCTACAAGATTGACACCGGTTATGGGCGCCACGCATGTTTCAAGCTCTGACTAACCATGTCATCACGTTCCGAGGATCAGTCCAAGTAAGGAGCTCTACGACCAAGTCGTGTAATGGCAGAACGTTAGATTCTCCGGAATCATGAACTTCGCTGATACCGGCTAAGCGATTAGCGATATCCAGGAAGGACTGAAAAGGGGGAAAGCAATCAGCGGCATCGAGAAGCTTTTTTGTTCTTTTCGTCTTACCTGTCTGAGGAAATTCTGGTTCTCGGAGGCCTGGGAGCCAAAGACTGAAAAAGAATAGGACAACTTGTGTCGTAATCTACCATTGGCAGCCACATGAGGGCTCGCATATACACACAGCATAGCAGCCATAACCTGTTGGTCGTAATGTTACGCATCGAAGAACTAACGAGATTGAGTGCCTACCCTTTTGTCGCGAAGAGACGTGTTGAGCAGTAGTTTGCAAAACCCAGCACATATCAAATCTGAGATATCCGTGCTCTCGTTGCCTTCCAAGGTATACATGAGAAGAGACAGGACAGTGTCCAACTAACGATTTCATCAGATATCGGAGTACATATAAGGCTTACGAAACGGAGGAATACCTTGTTACAGCAGGTCACGTCGAACACCATCAGAATATCAAATAGTGCTGAGATGACCAGAACTTGATTTCTTGCGGTTGGCGACTGTTGCAAGATGCTTAAGAAAGTATCGAATGAACCACCCGCCAGGGACTATGAGAACCAGCGTAAATGCGCAGATATCCCTATCGTACACACCATCGCCTTACCTTGTCCGACAGACAGTATAAGCACAGTGCTTTAACCCCGCGCTCCTGCAATAAGCGATGGCCATGCTTCGCTGCAGGGATGACGAGATCCATCAAAAGAGCGCGAATGTGAGGAGCGTCGTCCAAAATCTACGATTCGGGTGAATTCACGCTGCACATACGACAACCCTGAACGCACAACATGAGAATGACGCAGCATCTCTGATAGCAGCTCGAGACACCTGCAGTCTCTGGCTTCGATAGCTTTGCTTTCGTTGGTAATTTTGGTACCCGAATCTTGACTTCCGAGGAGTCGGTCGCAGGTTTTGGGCGATAACTCAGTCGAGCTTGGTGGATCCCGCTGCGCAAGAAAAGTTGGCCCGGTGCTTCATCGGTATGGGGAAAATACAGAGATAGTGGCTCACGGAAGTCTGAGAGTGCACGATCGAATATTCGTCTCGGATATCGGATATGATCTCGACTACGATGCGCGTGTATTCGCGCTCATTCTGAAGGAGCTTCTGCAGGAGCTCCAGTGCAGGTTCTATCACACCCATGGGGAGTGAAGGGTTAATTAGCGCGGTTCCTACGGCAACGTAAGTAGAGTCGATGGCCTTCGGAGAGATACGGTGATCACTGACGTATAACGAGAGACATAGACCGTCTTCCAACTTCATCGCCTAAATCCATAGATCCCGCGAGGCACATGAGCTGAGTTGCTACAACTAAACGTTCCTGAACGTCGGGCGGAAATTCCTGTGTATCTTCCACGTGTCCTTGATCGATCATTTCATCTTCTACCTGAGGGATGCACGACAAGAGGACGTCCAGCACCGCCCTCAGTTGAGCCGCTAGTTGTGTCAAATTCGGCACCGAAGCATCTTCCAGGAAAGCCTCCCATCGCTCTTCAGAGTAATTCTTGTGACAGTGTAACAAAAACGCGCGCACGAGCGAAATGGACTCCAAGGTTGGATGCGAAAGTGTGCCTATGACGAGGCTCAATATGGGACATGCGGAGGTCACAGGGTGCGAACCTTCGAATGTTAGCTCACGGAAGATCCTTGGGCGTTCCGTGAAAATGGCGTCCAAAGCGTCCATGATGACCTCAACGCCGGTGTTGTAGGTGTCGTTCGCGTGTACGAACAAACATGTCGCCATCAAACGACCAAAGCGGGTGAGATCCAAGAAAGGTGTACGCTCGTTATCATACCCACACTTTTCGGCATCAGGGTCAGCGGTCAAGTCGAACCACGCCAAACAGAACCTTCGCGCAGCGCTGCACACGGACGCATCGCAGTCGGCGAGTCCCGATCGTAGGAGCCCACGAAGTTCCACGGCGTTCAGCTCTTCCAAACATTGGCCGGGCGATAGGCGGAAGAACGCGGCTCGACGTACGCGCGCGCTTACATCTCTTGTACGTAGCAATAGGATCGACATCCTAATCGATTCGGCGTGCGATAACTGTAACAGACCTGAGTAGAAGTAAGTAGAATCATGTAGAACGCACCCGAATAGCGTAGCTTATCGTAGGATAGCGTCGCATCTGCGTACGCTGACTCATCTGACTCATACTCGCAAGTATAAGATAGGCGCTTAGCGCGCCTCCCGAGCTCTCGGAGCTCCCGTGTACAACTTAGATAGTAATTGATTTATTCTATTGAGTGCTTCGTTGTATGAAGCATCCTTAGATAGATTGAATACTCACTGAATTTACGATCGTTTTACTCAAACCGAAAGGCCTCGCCGACTGATCAAAGAACCTAGCTCTTATCTTATCGGTAACCAATAGATTAGATAACTATCTATCTACTGCTACCGTTACACTTGGTGACCACCTTGGTTCAGTCGATCGGGACTCAAACTTACTTGCGCAACACATCATCGAATTGTCCCGAGGGAGATTCGATCCGAAGACATCAAAACATCTTTTGAATATCAGCAATACGACATGTCAAACACTGAGAACCGCTCTGAGCGCGGATTTACATCCTTCGACATACCTGAGCCGCGAGATCGCGAGGACGATGCGCCGCAATCACAGCAAACACATATTTCTGGCACGCCTCTGGATAGAACTGTGCCCCTGACCGATCCACCCTTGAGACCTCCGGGCTTGCCACCGCTTCAGAGACCCGATACGGCTCCACCATCGCCGGATTATTCGTATCTAAGGGTACCAAGACGTGAGATGGAACGTCTATTACATCCCGACAACTCACGCGATTCGAATCACGCATTTTCGATGATTTTGAGGAATATTATTGTCGATATCTTCGAGAAGAATCAACGAATCGAATCAGTCGTAGATATAATGAGCAAGAAAATGGATTCACTGACCGAAGACGTAGCAAAGCTTTTGAGGAAGCCCGCCAGACCTACGACGATATATCATTCGAATGCCGAAGATTGTGAGAAAGAAATGAAAGACATACGGGAGAAACTCGAAGCACTTCGGATTCGGCAGGATCGACACATCCTCACGACGATCGAGGCGCGAGAGGATGCTAACAGAATTCTGGAAGCGATTCAAAGGTCACAACAGCCTATCAAGATAGAAGAAGGCGTACCTGTATATCACACAACGAATGTCGCACCTGAAATCCGACGCGATCCGTTGTTACACAGAGTACAAACACCGTCTTCCGACGAATCCACTATAGCAGAAGTCGAGGAGCCTGAAGGGAGAACATATCGCGGCGTCAATGAGACGCATTGTCATTGTGACTGCACACGCATACTCCCAGATATAGAAACTCACCTGGATCAATTAACACAGTTGGTACACCATCAGAACGAAATGAGGAATCAAGATTCGGACCAAGCAACGTTGAGATGGGCCGATCAGGCTGAGATGAACGGTTTCGTCGGAGAAACTCTGAATAATCTCCAGCAGGAGATCCTCGAGATGCGTGGTGCGATCGACGATGTACAGCGAAATTGCGCTAGGATACAAGACCTCGACGAGATACGGATCTCGAGGGAAGACACACAGCACGAGGATGAACCAGCAGCTACACAAGCTCCAATACCAATACAGACCGAAGAACCAAGAAGCGAGCACGATGGACAGCTTCGAAGATCGCCGCATGTTGCCTTTTCGAATATGGAACGCCGACCAGCACAAAACATCGGAAGTATCAGTGGCTTGGCACAGCAGCCCGTGACGCAGCAAGGCACCAGCAACTCTAATTCCAATCCGATCGGACCGCAATTAAACTCCGCGACTCCCGCTTTCATGCCGTTCACGCCATACCTCACTAGTACTCCTCGCGGACAAGCTCTAGTCACTCCGGCAACAAACTTACCCACCTCTGCTTCATTTCTCACTGGTCTAGACGATGGTCGCGTCAAACTCAAGCCTGCGGACTTTCCTAAATTTGGAGGAAAGGACGAGGACATAGATCGTTGGTTAGAGCAAGTAAGTACCATTAAGGATCTTGCTCGAGCTGACGACGATGCTCTACTGCGAATAATAGCCCTTCTGCTGAAAGGAGACGCTAGTAAGTGGCTCACTACGCTATCTTATGCTGAACGAAGCCGCTTAATTACCTGGCAAGACTGGCAAGATGCGCTTCGCGCAGAGTATCGCAAGGCCAACTTCGAAACTCACAAGGAGGAAGAACTTCGCCAGCGCATGTGGTATCGCAATGAGAGCTTTGCCGAATATTATACAGATCGGAGGTCACTACAACGGTATGTCTTAGGTGAACGAGCGGATGATCAACGATTAATTAGTGACATGATGCTCGGCATCCCTCAATCGATGCAAACGCTCATCAAGACAGCGACAGGGCAAGTTCTCAACAAGAACTTGACTATTACTGAATGGAAACGTTTAGTGATCGATGCCGAACCCGGACTCATTGCACAATACGGCCATTTACGTCCCTACAAGCCGCGGACGGATACCGAACGGAATGCAAATCAGTCTCGGGGACCGAGACCTTTCTACCGAGGGGGGTACCAGTCGAACACACCGTCGAATTCAAATTCTAACGATAGATCATTCACGCCATCATCTCAGAACACTCAGAATCGAAGCCAGGGACAAGATAGCAGGAACACGACACCTGTACAGAATTCGAGAGGCGTAAATACGCGGCAAGACCAAGGTCAGAATAGAGATTATCGTCCTCGCAATGATAATCGAAATTCTAATTCGTTCCGACGAAACGACAGATACAGTGGTAACCAGCGACCTCAGTATAACTACAGGAATAATAATCAAGGTCGCAACAATCCCGCCCGAGCGAACGTCACTACAACCAATGCGGAGGATAGTTCGACTCAAACAGCTTCGAATAATATCACAGTTGGTGTGTACAACCAGTACGACTCCGAGGAAAGCGAGCACTACGCTATCTCTAACTTTGCAGACTGTGTAGAAGTTATACAAGCTGAACCGGTCACTCGAAAATCGTCACGCATCCAGCAGTCCTCAAACAATCCAAACTACAAGCTTACTCGTTCACGAAGACCTAACAAGGCTCGCATTGCATCAGACGTAGCCACAAAGGGCAGTGAGCGTCCAGAACACTCCGAAAATGGAATCCAGGCTGACCAGACGGCTTTGGAGAATTCACAGGACGCAAAAATGACTGTCGCTTCGGATCCAATGGACATTACTTACGAAGACAAGACACCAGCCTTCGTACTAATCTCTATCGAAGGACAGGATACATCCAGGGTATTCAAGGGATGCATCGACTCAGGTTCGTCAATTAGCATGATTGACCGCGAATTTCTGAAGATACATTCGCCTTTGACTCGATTACAGACATGCTCGACTATCAGAGTGAATGGCATAGGAGGCAATTCGTTCATCACCTCCTTTGTCACCCTCAACGTCGCGCTCACTGATCTAGCGGGCCACATAATCCAATATCCGGCCAAATTCTATGTTAACCCGGCGAGTACCACGAAAATCATCATAGGAAACGACTTCCTAACACATTACGGAGCCGTGATCGATGTAGACGAAGGGCTTCTGAAATTGCGAAGGGACTCATCCAGCAAATCTTCGTTTAAACTAGAATGTAAGCCGTCTTTGCCTCCGGATGTTAAAGTAACTGAAAGCTTTACCATTCGAGGATATCATGCCGCTCGAGTTCCAATTCGTATTGATGGATTGGTCAAGACGCCGCACTTCTACCTGGATCCCAAACCTATTCGAGAGGGTGAGTACGCTGTCTCCGCTGCAAAATTAATCGGTAACACATCTGACACCAAGGTTGTCGAGGTATATAACCTTGAACCGTTTCCGATAACCCTACACGAAGGAGAAACTATAGGGACAGCTCACTCGCTTGATACTCGCCTCCCTACGTCTGTATCATCGAATAACACTCCAATTCACGCTTTGGACCGTTCAGAAGACTTGTCTGAATTTCGAAAAGCGATTCAATCAATGGATATCAACCCTACGCTCGACGGATCTCAACGACGCAAATTACTAGAGATTCTAGAGAAAAGACGACATGCTTTTGCATACGGCGATAGGAAACTTGGTGCAGCAAATATCGATCCGATTCGCATCGATACAGGAGATGCACACCCTATCTCTACACCTCCCTATCACGCTTCGCCTAAGGGTAAACAGATTGTCGAAGATACCGTTGCCAAATTATTAGCAGACGATATCATCAAGCCCTCTGAGTCCCCATGGGCATCTAACGTCGTTCTCATATCACAGAAAGATAAAATCAGATTTTGTATTGACTACAGAGCACTCAATGCCGTTACCAAGGCAGATCAGTACCCGCTACCTTGGATCGACGATTATCTGAGTCAATTCGAAGGCAAGCGTTACTTCACAACGTTTGACGCAAATTCAGGATTTCACCAGCTGCCTGTGGACGAAAGGGACCGCGAGAAACTCGCCTTCAGGACACACAACGGACTATACCATTACAAGAGGATGCCGTTTGGAATTCGGAATGGACCGTCAATCTTTCAGCGAGCCATGGATAAAGCGCTAGGACCTACAAAGTGGAACTTCGCTGTAGTATATATTGATGATATCATCGTGTATTCTGCAGATTTTGATCGCCATCTCTCGCATCTCGATCAGATCTTGGATCGCATAATTAAATCTCGATTCACTTTGTCAATCCCAAAATCTCATGTGTGCTACCAAGAGATTCATGCGTTAGGACACAATGTGAGCCGCCTCGGGATAGGTATGAAACACGAGAACGTCAAGGCTATATTGGAATTTAGACAACCGGCTTCGGTGAAGGATGTACAAATATTTCTGGGCATGACAGGCTATTACCGACGCTTCGTGAAGGACTATGCAAAGATTGCAAGACCACTAACCGCTCTACTGGCCAAGGACAAAGTATTCGTGTGGTCAGCTCACTGTCAGGATGCTTTTGAACGCCTTCGAGATGCTCTGGCAAGTGATCCGATTCTTGTCCATCCTAATTATGACAAACCGTTCATAGTATACACCGATGGATCGAAGATAGGACTTGGAGGAGTACTGGCTCAGATCGGAGACGACGGGAAGGAGCACATGATCAGTGCTGTGTCCCGACAGTTGAATGCACAGGAAGAAGGGTATACGGCAACAGAACTCGAGTGCTTAGCCGTCTTGTGGGCTCTAAGAAAATTCCATCCCTACATCGATGGTATGACAGACGTCTCAGTGATCACAGATCACATTGCGCTTCAATGGATCTGGAATTACAAAGGCACTAATGCTCGATTGAAACGATGGAGTTTAGAGCTACAACCATACAAATACACCGTTACTATTAAGCATCGGCCAGGAAAGACACATGCCAACGTCGATGCTCTATCCAGAGCACCTCTGATCAATACAGCACCACCCGAAAACGATGCAGACTGCTTTAATACACTTGTTACGACCATCCCTCCGCAATTCTTCAAACATACAGAACGATACTTACAAGACGAGTATTTGCGCCCATCTATGAGCAAATGACAATACCGATACGAGGACC